GGAGCCTCGTGCGTCCATTACTCCCCTCCCAGGGGTGGTTGGGGGCTGCCGAAAGTACAGGGTGGCAAGTGTCTCGCTCACACCCAAAGATGCATCGAGTTTCTGGACGAAACCGCACTGCCGCTGCATATAATGGTAATGAATTTCGTCTCCATTTTATTTAGTGTGTACCTATACGTTAGCTATCGATTTCTCTTGAAATTTCGCCATGTTTTGCAAGGCTTTGCGTCTGTTACAGCTTACTTCGTGTGATATATTGGCATCTGGATACTGAATATCGAACAAAGCAATGATACTTTTGAATTAAGTACGTTGATCTTTATAAATACGGATTATTTATTTACTTTAGTACTAAGAACGTCTTATTTTATACTGACACCTAAAGAAATCTTGGGACGTAGGAAACAAGCTTCTGAAATAATAATATTACATCTTGAAACACTATCCTTGTCTCTACACAATGACATCAGTGTACCTGCATAGGTAGGTATACCTATGTACTAGTATTTCGTTAAAGTACCTCTCCTACCTACCCCAGTCACGACATGCCCCTGCACCGATAAATCGCATTATGGCCCACGTGTAGGGAATACATTTTTAATCTTGTTTCCTTTATATCATGCGGCCCAGAAAAGGTGGATAGTGGTGGATGGTACGCCTCAGTAAAGTACCTTAATAGATGTAATTTTGAGTAGTGAGATCAAGTTTGGGTAAAGTAATTTCATAATAATTCAATAAAAGTATCTCTTCGAGAAGTAAATAAGTAGTTAAGTAAGTACAATTACGTATTACCTACAGAAGGAAGTGATTTGAAACTCCCTCCAAAATGTTCCTTATTTTTATTGACATGGAGGTAGTTTTCATTCGTTACAGTGTGACAAACATGTGTAGATAAGTGTTTGAAACCTAAGCTACAGTTCACGACTAAAGTGGGATGCACATTCAACACGTAAACATATCATCAACGTTACCAAAAACAAACACGTCAAAACAGCGCGGTAACGTTAATAACGCTCACGTTGCCATCCATAGCTCTTTTCATTCGGCACGAGCCGGTGCAGGCTGTGTCAAAGCACGTAATTAGTATTTAGGAAGGTGGTAAGAAAGGCGAGGTCGTGGGCCAGACGTCGGGTATCGATCCGACGACCTACCCCACACTCACCTCCCAAAAGGGTGGGAAGTGGGGAGCCACGCACATCGAGCCACCAATTGACACACTTAAGGTAATACTTGGCACTTACGATGTCGCCTCGACGTACTGATGGCCAACGGAAACAAAGCCTGTACCTACCTAAGCCAAACTACTCTATCGACTGAAACAATCACTAGCCGGACGATAGCCATGTAATCGAGAACAAAGAACCCACGTATCTCTTCAAAAACAATCGGATATAGCAAATCATTGCATCTACGATTATTGTTAGCCGAGTAGCAGAAGTAGCTGAAAATTACAGAAAGCTCGACCCAGTTGGCTCCGAGCCCGCCCGTACATCGGAACATCGCGCACTTGCTTATAGAAGACATGTCTTGTATCTATTTTATTTAACCTTGGAGAACTGTAAACAAATTATTCTGCATTTCTAAGACTGCGATGTGATCTGATCTTTGTTTACTGTGTATTCTGTTTATTTGTGAATATTGCATAGATATTGGCACAACTTGGATGAACGCGTGTGGTGCCTCTATAAAATACTAAGCATTCGTAAACATGTTTAGGAAACTGTTTCTTACTTTGACTTAACAATAAAATTCTAGAATTCCAACTCTATCTGAATTTCTATTCTCTTTAATTCGCACTATTCTCGGGTGGTGCATATCTTCATGTTTCTGGAGACAATATCCTTCGGCAAGTACATAGGTACACGTTTGTATATTAGTACCTACACAATGCCACCTGCATTAACTAAGACCCCTTAACCACCGTCTGTGGATTCGCAAGCCGTTACTTCAAATACCTATGTAGGTATCTTCATTGTAGTAAATTGTAATCGTACTCTTGTAATCAGGTAACCATTTTATTTATTTTCAATTACTGATCTAATGAGCTGTTACTCTGCATTCAAACCGCATGATAGTAACCATTTACCTACTGTAATGAACCAGTTTAAGTAAATGTTCGCCTCTAAACTGACAACTGCTTCGAACCTATGTAATTAAATACCGAACATACTTTAGAATTTTCTAATAAATTCTTGTAATTATTCATGAACGTGAAACCTTCCTAGAAAACCTAGGTAATTCCTTGCGCATTCAATTCCCTTTATCTCGCTTTTCTCAAAACTAAATTCTCTGTTCTTTATAAAGGCAATTTCCGCAAAAGGAATTACTGGTGAAAATAAGCAGAGCACGCAGATTGTCCGGAGCGACGTCGCGTCGGCGCTGCACTTTGGGGTTGAGGACTAGGGGAGGGTGGAACATTGGGGAGGTGGGTGGTGTAAAATCACCCGCAATCATTTATACCCGAACTGCCTGCAGAATTACTAGCCGTCACTAAATTCACGACACCACCCCTTGCACCAACTTTATTATGGCTTTCTCTAACAGCATAAAATTGAAATTGATAGGAATTATTTCTTGAGAATTGTAAAGGTAAATTCTGTTTTCAGAGAGGTTTGTTTGTTGGATCTTAGTTTTCTGAGCGAGCTTTTTACGTAGAGAAGCTTTTTTACGGTTAAGTTGGCACGAACTTTGAAGCTTATGAAAGTTGTAGACGCTTCAGTGAGCTTGAAGTCAGTTATGATAGCATTAAGGACTTGGTATCAGACTAAATAAAGTTTTTGATCATATAGAGGTACATCTTTTTATGTCGTTACTTGTAATTTAATTTCGAATCGCATCTTCATTAATCTCCAAAACATGTCCCCTGATATTTTCCATTGTCTCGGTAAAAAGTTAAATAATTTGAGTGAGTACCTGTAGTAACTGTAAATCCTACTAAGCATTTTTTGTGTAGTAACTATCGAAATCGTGATTCTTAAAGACAATTTATTAATTGAATCCCTAATTAGATACAAATTATAAAACTAGGTACGTTCTTTCATTATGTTTACGTCCGAGTAAAATTCAAGACTTAAAGCGACACAAGCTCCCTCTATGCACGTATATACCCTACACTACACTACACTACACAAGTATTAAGGTAGGTTTGCACATTGACAGCATTTGAGAGGCAACACGAGGCCACGTGGTGAGATGCGACGTAGCTATTTGTGTCAGGAGCTGTACCCGTGACCCACTTCGCAAACACCCCTCGGAGCCGCGTACTAGCGAACAACGAGTACCGACACTGCCATATATTTTAGTCTAGGTTATGTCGAGTTATATTGCCGCCATTACAGTTTTATGCTAGGTATCCTCAGGAATAAGATAGAATTTTTAAATAACGATTCAAGAATATATCCTCTTGGTTGTCAAATGAAAATCTAATCTATTCAAATAAATATTGGCATTTATATCACTTTAGTATTACCTACTAACTACATTTTAACAGCGAAAGTATATTCCGTAGATAAGTTAGACTATTGAATTAAGTAAGTAAGTACTAATCACTGTATGCAATTGAAACCTTACTTAATAATTTTAGATTTATTTATTCGTCCACTTAAAACAAGTCAACAATTATTTGTTTCTATCAATTTTTGCTGATCGTTTTTTCTGTTGTCGCATAGAAGTGGGCTATATAATCCCGCCTACATATTGCAAATTGTACATTTAATTAAACCAGTTTACTAACACAACTTCCACTACTGAAGAGTGAAAAACCATGTAAAAAATACAAATTCAAATAAGTGACGGGGTCGGGTTACGCTACGCTACGTACATAGCCTACGTAGAAAAATTTGATATTGCTAGCTCATCTCTCAATAACTGTGGGAGAGCCATGCTTTGGCACGAAAGGACCGCCTCGACCGGAGTGATACCACGCCCTCAGAGAAAACTGACGTGAAACAACACTTGCGTTGTGTTTTGTCGTATGCGTGAGGTTACCAGACGCCAATTACCCCTTCCTAATCTCCGAATCCCCAAAAATACTCAAATTCCTAATCCCCAAATGACTGGTAACGCATTTGTAGCACATCTGATGTTTTGGTGTCCATGGGAGGCGCCGATTGCTTACATCGGGTGATCTGTCTACTCCTGTACCGGTATATTCCATAAAAAAATATCTCCTTTGCGTACATATTAGATATACCTATCTACTTAAGCTATTGATCGATTCACCATTACCAAACTTTTTACCGAACAATTAGACATTTACTCATTTCATCCCAGTTTTTGTGATGAATACGTTAGATATAAACTCGAGGCTCCTTGAATATATTTTTTTTATGTCGGCCAACCTAATTTATAATTTCCTATTACGAAGTTACCTAAATGCATGGAAATAGACTTGTCCTTATTTTAAGAAAGGTGTACGGTGGCAGCCTTGGGCTCTATCCCAAGGTAAGTGTCATATATCATGACTTAATTTATTTTAGGGTAATGTATACTTTGTGCCAGCTTTGTTTCATAGAATTTCGCTAGAATCGCACAGCTTCGGTATAACTACACCAAAACAAAGAATGCGCTCTTCAGCCGTCCGAAGCTAACGGTTCAAATTAGCATTCATAATGGATGGTTCGCACCGCCGACAGTGTCACGATAGCCGCTAATTGTGATATCTAATTAAACTGTATAATCATAATAATTGCAAGACACCGGCGGCAGCTCGGAGCAGACCGGTAAATTTGACGCAATCATTGATCAGGTGTAATTAAAATGCTTAAAGTCCTAAAAATAATACAACAGAGTTGCTTAAAAATATATATTTTTTAATTAGAGACATGGTCAAGATTTGTGTCTAGCACAATGTATTTACATAATCAATTGTACATCAGAATGGCCTTATGTATGTGTCTTACACATATAAATATAATTCATGAATAATATCTGATTAAAAGAAGTCATACAATAAAAAATCAGAGTCACTGGGTACTATTTCTACCTAAAGCTACAAACCTCTAAGGTCCATGGAGTTTCTTCAATACTGATTCGATATCAATATTCTGAATATTTGTTGAATTAAACAAATACTGGGCATCTGGATTACTTTCATTATTTTCATTTAAAGGCTCCTCAGAAGTGTTACTACTTTGTATTCTTCTTTTCTTAACTTCAGCATTATCCTTAGTTTCTACATTTTCTTCTTCCTCTAACACTATTTCTATCTCATTTATTCTTTGCTCTTTGAAAGTCGGACTATGCGCCTTTAAAGGTGTATCCAGACTTGTCAAAGTAGAATCAAATATTTCGAAACACTGCGCCTTATGATCTTTCATAGGCGTGTATAGCCTGTCCATACCTGAAATTGAATTGACTGCTACTTCTGTTTCCCTAAAACTATATTGTAATTGTGCTGAATTGTCTGGTTCATTATTAAATAAAGTTTTAAAATGTGTTGCTCTTAATCTTATCGCTACTCCGTCATCTATACATACTTCCATACTAAACTTATCTTTTAATGTTATAGGCTCTCCTTGCCATCTATCTTTGGTGTCACTCTTACATTGAACATAATTATTACTGTCTTCATGACATTCATAAACGGATAATTCTATTTCATCATCTAAATCATCATCTTGGACAATTTGTAAATCATTTGTCGTACTTGTATCAGTTTCAATACTCCTATTTAATATACCTTCATTCTTTTCAGTTTGTTTAGCCTCAGTAAGAGTTGGTTTCACACTAGGTGAATCCAGCAAATCTCTTTCTATTATTTTTGCCGTTTCAGCATCAAAACCTCTTTTAACCAAATCAGTGTGTAAATTGCCTGTGTTACTATTGGGTTTGTGTACATCGCTAACTGTTGTTGCAATATATTCTTTTATTTTGCATATATCTTCACTTTCTACATCTTTAGGTTTTCCATCTTGTGAGCCGTCGTCAGACCAGCGTAACGCTAATTGTTCTGTATCAGAATCTAGCGAAGAAACCATTGAATGCGGGTTCGGTTTATTATGTTTATTGCTCGCGTTCATTTCCGGAGACTCATGACCCGAACTTTCAGAATTAAAAGTTTTTGTACAATGTAGTTTCCTGGGCGTCGAAGATTTTCGACGCGACTTGGTCGGAGCAGGACTTACTACTGGCATAATATGAGTATTCTTTTCTTTTGCACTTAACCTCTTTTTCGGCGATTTAGAAGAAACCGATTGAGAAAACATCTCGGTTTTCCTTCTTGATCTCTTATTATCCTTTATTGGGGTCAGTCTTCTAGGTTTGATCTTCATGAATGAATTTTGTCTATCCTTTTTCATAGGGGATTTTCGTTTTTTACTAGAACTCAACTTTTTCTTTGCATCCGATTTGGTACTTGATGATTTTAATTTAGGAGTTTTCGGTGTTTTTAAGTTGACATCTTTGCTAATTTCAAGAGAGCTGTTCGCTACAGTAGTGTCACTACAAGATGAGATTTTCTCAATGTTATCATCTACTGGTTTTTCTTTCGGTTTACAGCTTATATTACTACTACTGACATATGACACATTTTTCGTACACTTCCTTACTGGTCTAGAACTCCTTTTACTGGTGGTTGCTGTATCATTGGGTGCTTCCACAGGAGGGGGTTCATCTTTTGATGAAGACACTGGGCATTCTAAATCAGCAATTCTCAGATAGTCCTGATCATCTGGCTTGTAGTAAGACCCTCCGCTAGAATAATCAGTCGCTCGGGATGAATACGATGGCGTAGCATGCGCAGGTTTTGGAGTATCAAAGAAACGAGGTGTAGGAATACTCATAATTTTAATATCTGATATCGGTTCATCGGGTAAAGACCCTAAAAATTTCGGCGTCTCCATTTGAATATCATACAAAGCTTGTTTGTAAGGGGTTTCTAGAAATTCTGATATATTTAATCTTGCCCCAATCTCATTCTGCAAAGATAACCTTTCGGCTTCAGGTGTTTCGTTAATGTCATCACTGTTTGATTTGTTTGCATTGACTTCAGTGGGTTTGTTTTGACTGACTTCGAGAGGCTTATCTGCTTCAGGGGGTACACTAGAATAGGCAGGTACTACAACGAAAGTTGGTTTGATCATAGGTTTGTTGTCAGTGTTCAATGCCATTTGTGCATACTGTTCCTCTTCCTCTTCTAATTTCCGTCTCTTTTTAGATTTATTAGGTTTAGGAGACAGTTGTCTTTTTTTACGCGGTTTTTTATCTTCTGTTTTTTCAGCTTTCCCTGCTGTGTTATCCCCTTCTGATGGAGTATCAACTGCTTTCTTATTCTTAGGTTTCTTGGGCCTGGGCTTTGCCTTAGGAGGCGGATTGCTAGGTACACTCGCAGTTGCTAAGGCTCGCAAATCAGCATCCCAATCAGTTTTCTTACTTTTTATAACTGGCTTGATATCAGAATCTTTTTTCAGACTGTTATAGAGGCAGGACTCTATTTTATGAACTTTAACGTTACTCATATCAACAATATTATCTTTAGCTTTTGCGGTTTCAGTGAATACTAAGTTAGGACTCCTACTGACTACGACATCAACAGGGTTCTCATTGATTTCACTAGGAGGGACTTCTTTTATTGTCTCGTGTAGTATTCTCCTTGGTGTAGTGAAGTCTAATACTCTGATATGGGAATTTCTGCGAGGCGTAGAGGAAGACCTCCTAAGAGGCGGAAGAACTTGTGGAGTATTTGTTTGACCTTCACCAGCTATAACATTATCTTTTGGAACAGACGCATTTTTAATATCGACAGTTTTTACTAACCCTGGTTCAGGTTCGGCAGGTTTTGGTTGATCTAAATTCGGGAGTTCAGTTTCAGGCTTCTTCGTTTCAGGAACATTATTTGATGATACATCTATTACAAGGGGACCAAGGAGGTTTGGTGCTGGAACAGCGTTTGTATTTACTTTCTGCATCTTTTGTATCTGTACAGGTTTTACTTGACACATATTCGGTGGGGGACCTATGGGAAAGAAGCATTTATTTCATTAGATCATTTAGGATAACAAGATTCTACCTAGATTACAAAGATATAAGAAAAAAAGAATTACCTGACGCAGGCACGACTATTATAGTAGGCATCGCCATAATTTCATCCTTTGTAAAACTAGTGCCAATCATAGGTATGGACTGATTGTAAGCTGGTCTACCGTTTATTAGAATTGTTTGCATTAATGGCGTCGAAGTCTTATTTATCGGTGGGAACGGCTTATCTACCTTTACATCCGATATTATTTTAATTTTTTGGTCCTTAGGTATCAATCGAGGTTGACAATAAGAACGCGCTTGAGATTCCACTACATCACTTTTTGGCACTTCATTCAAATTATTACTGAGATCCGTGTTTGTGTTGTTTGCAACTGAAGCCCTGGAAATAAATAGTAGAAAATTAAAATTTAAAAAAATAGAATTTCAAACAATGAGACAAAACAACAGCTTATGATGAGCAATTAATTCGTATAACTAGATAATGCAAAACAAATACGTAATAAAAAGTAGGTTTTGTGTCATATATTATAGACAGTGAATAATTATAACAGGGAAGTGAATAGGAATTTGTATTGCATGTAATGCCCCAAGCGTTACAAGCGTATATAGGCCTAACCACGGTAATCGTGGCGTCGCCATACAGCTTTTTGCTACTTTTATTTATTTTTTTTGCCACCATCGTGGTATAAATTCATATACGAGTCACAAATATATTTATATGTATAATGATATTTATATTAAATATAATTATATATCTATACGATTATATTTACGTATTTTATGTATGCTTTTGATACCCTTTTATTAATTTGGATAATTACCACTATTTCTCATAACAGTTTTGCAGCTTACCACCTACCACATACATTTCTGCACTACCCAAAGGATGACTGGCAGAGAATGCTGTTAGCATTAAGTCTTCCTTATGCAATTGTATAAAACTTAAATCAATAAATAAGTTAGTAAAAAAAAAAGACAATTATACCATATCAACTTACATGTTTGTAGAGTTTTCAGAAGTGCTGGAATCTGGTACAGGAACATTTCGGTTTTCATGGCCTAGAAATGAATAAACATTTTACAATTTATACAAACACTTAGTATTAATAAAAATTGCATGAGCAGAAGAAAAAAGAAAAGGACAACAATAAAAATGTATATGAAAGAAATCAGAGGCAAGTATTTTTTTTTTAAATAAACATTTTTTTCATAAAATAGAACATTGCCATGCGATAAACGCATTGAAACTTGATATGTGCAACAGTAAAAAAATATGTTCAAAGAATTTACGTGAAATTCGTTCGCACTGCAATAGAATATTTAAAAGCAAAAAATACAGTACACATACCTCGAACTCCAGAAGCAAAATCTTGAAAAGAGCTATCATTATTACTTTTATTGAAGCTATCAGATTGAGGTAGACTAAACAGTCTTGTGTCTACTTTAGACTTATTGTTCTTACAGACTTTCTTCAAAATTGTATTGAACTCTTCAATCTTCTCTCTGCATTCTGGCGTATCGGTGGGTTTTGGCTGAAATATAATGATTACAAAATTGTAACAAGTTCGGCAAGCAGGACTTCTTTAGAACATCTTTAGTTCATGAAACTCTCCTGCTGGACTACAAGTCTGCATAAAACGACTTGCCATAATGTCATAAGCGCGTTGGAGATTGAGACATATAGAGAACTAGCTGCCGAATCACTAGTCCCTTAATCGTAAAGGAGTAGTGACAAATGTACCCTGCTCCGCCGTCATCATAGGCTTTTTTTATGGAATAAGCCGGTAAATGAGCAGATGGATCACCTGATGGTAAGCAATCGGCGCCGCCCATGGACAAATGATAAACCAGAGGCGTTACAAGTACGTTACTGGCGTTTTGGGGATTAGGAATTGGAGGATTATTGGGAATTCAGGGAATGGGGGGAGGTCAGTGGGCTTTGGATGTATGTAGTAGGGAATTTTCTATTAGGCAAATCTTGAAATTGTCTATTAGGCAAATCATGAAACATCTATTTTATAGACATGATTGCTTCATAGCCAAGTAAGGACTTGATTTTCAGTTTTTTAAATTTTCGCTCTAACATATCGAGGGCTTAATTAGAACCTTGATATTAGGGTTACAATAAATTACCTCATGTAAAACAATATCGCTTTATCAATTTATGCAACTGATATGTTAGTTAATCTCAAATGAAACATTGCACTTATCAAAATTTATGTACTGATAGACCATAACATTCAAGCTGCATAATAATGAATTAATGAATGTCATGTCATACAAATAAAATACGAATCGCATTTCATTCCACGAAGGTTTAAGTAATAAGTATCATTTGAAAATAACTCAATAATAGGTAGTTAAGGTTACAACTTTATTTCTATTAGGAATAAGGTTCATTTCACATTACACATATCCTTCCACAAGTACTACCAGCATTTTATTCATAATAAACTTGATTCTGCCTGACTGATAATTCCAATGTTTTATATAACATAATTTTTCCATTATCTCTAGCTTGATAAAGGATAATAAGTATGTGTAATATGTCTGCATAATATGAGTATTTTTGTTTCAGGTGATAACACATTAATAATTATTTCAGGATTTTTGCTGAGGGAAAATCATCCAATGACTTTTCCCGCCTTGGGTGAGGCGAGAGGAAGTTTCAGACTCTTACTGACGAAAAACCTGTTCCTACTCCTGCTTGTAGAGCCGGAGCCCTGCCGCGGCGCGTATTATTTCAGGCTGCCTCAACATCTAATAGTTCTAATCACTACTGTGAACTGCTGAACAAAAAATCTTACCTCTATCTATCTATCTACCTTTTTATTATTACATACATCAACACTATGTTTGCATAGACATGATCCCATGATAATGGTCAAAGGTTCTCCAAAAATCTGACTAGCAGTGGGCACTGCCAGTTCAGCTTGCTAATACCTTATACCTACTTTTTAATAAAACATACTCACAATTGTATTCAAAGCGATGGAAGAACTCTCATTCAGTTTCATTTGGGAACTATGGGTATTAGAACCTAAATTATTCAGTACATTGCCACTGTTGTTCGAAATGTTTGAAGTTTGCTTTGTACCATCATTTAATCCTCCACTAGACTCTAAACCCACTTCCTTTTCCAAAACTTTAACATGCTTTTTGCGAATTCCATGGTTCCCTGTAATGAAAAAAAAAACATATTTAAAAAAGAACATACTTATAATTTTTCTACATAATGTGATATGGTTGAACACTGGCCACTTACAAGCAGCATTAAAAAACCATTAAAAAGTTGAAGTAGGTAGGAAAAAGATTTTAAAATGTCACAAAAATGTCATTGATTTTCACAAACTTTTTTATTTAGAAATTATACTGTTTTAAATCTAAACTTGACCTCATATAACAACATTCTGTTTAGTGAAAGCTGAACTAAAGACAAGGACAGATATTTAAATTGCCAATATTTAAATAAAGTCATTTAGCTACACTTAAAAGCTGTTGATATGAAAGATTTCACCTGTAAAAATGGTATTAAGAGAAAAAAGGATTTCTCGTTTTCTTTAAGAATAAATAAAATATAGAAAAAATCTTTCTGCACACAACTTAAGCCAGACACTTAAATGTATTTGAATTACATTCAAACCTTTAACAAGAATCAGTAGAGAAAACTATCAAAATCTATTTAGTTGTTTTAGAGATTATTACAAAGAGACAAATTTTGTATTATTATCCTTACCTATTACAAAAAGAAGTTCCCTGTTGCATGTCAAAACCTACCAGATGATTTTTTTCATACTTTTCTTTAGGAAAGTTTAGGTTAACACAGTATTGACCATAAAAACAAAGTTGTGAGTGGAAAATAGTAGAATAGACATAGAATAGTAGAATAGACATAACATCACGCTTTTTGTCCCCAAAGGGGTAGGCAGAGGTGCACTTTTGGGCATGTAATGCCACTTACGTGGCACTCATAACATTAATAGTGAATAGAGGGTGTTTTTTTTTTTTTTTTAATATTATAGATTATTTCTCCACGGACTCTAGGTCCGTGCCCTTGTCATACAGTTTTTTAATTATAATACATCTAGTCAATTTTTATAAAGTAAAGAGGGAACCTAGTTACATACTACAATTAACTACATCTATAATTATTAGCAAAAGTATAGGTTACATAATAATTAGGCACTATTTATATATTTCTATTTCAAAGGCTTTATGAAACCAGCCCACCAACAAGATGGGAGAGCCGACCTGACCCAGCAGAAGGCACCCGTTCACGAGTATGACGTGTGTGTCAGCAATTGGTCCGGTCAACCTTTTTATTGGGAACGGAACAACCCAACACACAGCGCCACCGACTGTAGGACATTTATGTGTGCATGACGCCTCAACCCCTGCCACATGGGCCGATTCCAATAAAGCCATAGTCCAAAGTCAATTGGTCATATTCTATTTCTACATGTTTCTGCACACACATTTCCTCATGTTGCATTCGTTTCATCACAAGCAACACTCCTCGCCCAAGAGAGCACCCATGACTGCCGCGTCCCTGTGTTTGATGGCCATTTTCAGGTTGTAGTCCTTAATACCTTGCTCACCCTCATCAGCCGCCTTCCTGATTAGTTTGCTTATCGCGTCTTCACTGTTGTCTGTGTAATAGATGCAACCATGCGTGTGACGCGATATTGCTACTACCGCGTGTGGTACGCTGTCATGTATTTGATGTTTCGAATAGAGGGTGTTACAGTGTACTAAAACAATAGGCAACTAATAATTACCAGGGAGATCTTCCAAAGCTGTTGCTTCAACACAACTATCCAGACTCATGTCCAGACACGAGCCAGACTTCTGTTTGCACTTACAATAGCTAGACACACAGCTGCACACATCACATACATTTTGTTTTGAAGATTGTGATGAATTAACTTTGGATATACTGTAACAGAGCAGAATAAATGACATTTAATAACAGGTTTTGTATCAGAATGTCAAGAAAAACATTTTACATTTAATTTGAGACTTGCATAACCTAAAATTAGTTTCAATATTTTCGTTTCCAAGCCTTTGCCTTAACGAAAACTGTTATTTTTTCTTCTATGTATTGAAATATAAGATTTTGAAAGGAATATTTGTACATAATATAGGGCAAATGCAAATATGTTTCAGTATAAAGTATTTGTGAATAATAAAATAAACTAATTAAAATTTCCAGAGACATAATGATGACTTTGATGTAAATTACCTGAGTCTGTCACTAGAAGTATCCTGTAATTGTATTTTGCTTATATCAGCATTAATAGCTAAGAATTTGACAACATCCAAAAGATTTGTACATTGCACCAACTTCTTCCTCAATATAAGAGGTTTACATGTCTCCACTGAAACAAAAAACCATGATTATTGTAAATTATCTACATCATTATAATTATAAACATACAAACCTGTACTCATAGATGTTTGAGATGTCAATAAACTACAAAAAAATGTTATTTGTCTATCAGTGTGATAATAAAATGTGTTATGTGTGCTTATCAAATAAACCATTTGTTTTTACTTTTGTTTAGAAACTGTCTGTAGACATTATTACAACAGAATAAATACACCAACAATATGATAGAAAGTATTCAAAGTAATATTTGATAACATACAGAGCAAAGACCTGTGTTAGATAGTTTAAAAAATATTATATCAACATATGATATAAAAGTTATATTTAAAAATAAATGAAATAAATAAGTTGAACTTCTTGCATCTTAAGGCTTGAAACCATAATATCCAATAGGATTTTCATAGAAAGCCTGCATCAAGATTAATTAACTGAATATAAGTTAAAAATAAAGGTACTTTCAGTTTGTCAGAATATCAATAACATTTCAAACTTATTGAACTTTTTCAAAACAAGAAAAATTTAATCTCTTTCTAACAGTAAAATGTTAACTTATTTAGTTGGTCATCCAACAAGTGTTAGACTCAAAACAGTACCAGCAGTCTCTAACTAATTGTTCTATGAAAAACTTTCTAATAAGCTGTTTCAACCTATAATACATAATTATGTAAATACACATACCCCTACAATGGACAGTAGAGAAGTAGGTTAATACTATTTTGAAATACAGTGACATAACACAAATTGCGTTTTTAGATTCACTAGCATGGTGTAGGGACCAATTTCATCAACTTGCAAAGCATGTACCAGGGCATTTAGCCCATTGACATCTAAAATAAAACATGCACGAGGCTTGCAGACATTATAAATACGGAGGGGAGACTACTATACTGACCATATATTTTTACAGCCCTATATTCTGCCAGAATATTCTTGAGTGATGTCATAAATATCCTGTCATATTCGTTTCTTAAAGCATCCAAGTAAGGACTAGCTTGTAAAAACTCATCATACGCAGTCATAAGCTGCTCCTCAGCAAGATATCCTACAACAGAACAAAGAAATCAAACATCAACTATCCCGTCCGTTAATTGGGGATCGCTATATTCCCGCCAAATACTCGACATACCAAGGACTAGTTTCGCCAAATCTTGTGAAGGAAACGGTGGTAACGACATTATTCTTCAATATATGTACACTTCACGATTTATTTACATAAATGCAACAAGAAAAACAACACAAATTACAAAATATAATAAAATAAACAGTCCACCACTTGCATTAAAATCCTGCACATACACAAAAGTCACAAAAAACACAGCAGAAACACGAAACACATAGACAATTAGACAGTTACGTTGAACACAGCACAGATAAGTAATACTCAAGTTAGATCAAACATTTTCATTTTATATGGAAAACAAGACTTCTCTTAGCTCATTTTCATTTCTTATAATTTATTTAATTATGAAAAAGGACATTATTATCTTTTCAACCTTCCATCGTCCACTTTTGCTGGCGCAGCGTCGCTTGTGAAATCCTTATACTCCCTTTTTATCATTAAGCATGACGAGTTTCGACTTGATTTGGCTAACACTTATGATACCAATTTATATGCAATACAGTCTTTCTATACAACAATTCTTTAGATTAATATCATGTACATTTACATTACACTAAATCGTTTCTAAATAAATAGTCGATTTAAATTATCGACTACTTTTAAGTTTTGACAGTTAATTGACAGTGTCATTAAAAATGTAACGCCAATTCGCCATTTTTGTGCTACTGGAAGCCATTTTTCAATATCAGTTGTTAAAATTTACGCGTTTGTAATTTTGTACTATATTTGTGAACTTAATTTTGTTATTTTTTTACTTATAAACAGTGTATCTCGATTTTAATAACCATGAGTAACACGGCATCAACACCACTCTTCGCTTGTTCGCGTTGTTTCTCAAGACACCCTTTCGAGGAATTATCAACTGGTGAACAACTTTGTAAGGTATGTACGTCACATACAATGAATATTACACCCGATATTGATCGGTTGATTATTTACTATGTTTATAGTTGACTCTGATGGGAACGGGGTTTGCGCGGGTGCGTCACAATTTACTGTTATTTTGACGTCAGTAAGTGACGCGTTTGTTGTCTGATATTTCAGGAATGTCGCGGATCTTTCCCAGTCGTCAAGTGCACGTACTGCCGTTCTGAGTTTCAACAGACAAGGTCAGTGTCGGCTGCCAGGGCATGTGCTTAAGAATTGCGTTGTAAGATGTAGAAATCTGAAACAAAAGGTTTCATCATGCGTCGTCACTTTCACTCTGAAACTTGTTACACTTCACACGTTTGTAATGATTTGCACACTTTTGTATCAACTCTAGTTGATCAACTCTTTTAGTTATCAAACACTATTAATAACTTTAAAATTGACATAATAAAAACAAATGTTCCTATACTCACTATTCATGTAAACACAAAAATATTTTAATTGATGACACTTGTTGGACTTTTGTGTAAAATATTCACATAATGTACTTTCTTATAGCAAATCAAATACATCTTCAATTTGTAAGAAGTGTGAGGCCAACGTGAAAGCTTACGGGAAGCCTACAGCCTGTGAATATTGCAACATCATCGCTGCATTTATTGGTAAGCATGAGAATATTGTACTACAGGGAAAAACTTACTATAATTGTTTTACTTTTAGGTATATTTCTGTGTGACAAACAAAATAAAACAATAATAAGGCATAACCAACTTGATTTATTACAATGTTAAACAACTATATAATTTAAAATTCTACAGTCCTAATTCAGTTTTGTTTCTTTTTGTGCATAACAATTGGTTAACAAAATTTTATCCATTGTATTCTACAATGCTACCTACGTAACTAGTTGTAATCTCTTTATTACAATAATTATGAACAATAAGTTTATTAGGCATTTCATCAAAATTACTAAATAATATTAAAAAATTCTGAGAGGCAACTTTATTTGTAGGTTTAATATACTAGTATGTATTGCAGAATATGTTTTGATTACAGTTTGAAAACTATGTACTCACACTTCATTAAAAATTAGGTAACAAATGCCAACGGTGTGCTAACTCTGAGCGCAAGTATGGGCCAGCGGTCACCTGTGAGCAGTGCAAACAACGCTGCGCTTTTGACCGCCATGATGACAGTAAAAAGGTACATTAATTTAATAAAGTAGACTGTTATATGTATTTATTCTATTCACATTTATGTAGATGACCAAAACATACTTACAATATTTAACATACATGACCGAAGTATCAGCTAATTTATCAGTTTTAATTTTTCTGCACATGCACCCCGGATCAAAGGCACCTACGAACCAATGTTTTGTAGATGATAGAAGATAGGTCTAATACCTTTCAACAAGCCATTCTAATACCGATAACAACAACAAAGGAAACGGCGCCATCGATTTTCTTGAAATTTTGTATTCATAGGGCTTTGGAGGCGATAAATGAATCTAGCCAGAAGATATTATGTCCGTGTATAACAAAAATCCGTATTAGAATTATTTCGCCTTTATATGTAAAGTTAAAATAATCCAGTACAGAGTATGGTGGTCAAACGTCGACCTATAAAGTATAAAAAAAAAAAAATATCGATTTATAGGAAGATTCTGAGTCATTAGACAAACTAAAAAAAAACACTATATTAATAGTTGCTGACTGCAGAAAATAGAAAAAAAACACCATAAAAATAACATCACACCTTTTAAGCCACAATGTTTCTTAGTATACCAAGGAAAATCTAAACAAAATCTCATTTATCGGTTGAGGAAGCAATCTTAATATCACAAACAGATTATTATCAACACTCAACACTGCAGTCAATAACTATAAAAAACAAATATAAATAAATATTTACCCATTTATCCCTAAGCGGTCACTGGTGACTGCTCTCCACTAACTATATTATAGACCTTATTTCCGATGTTTAGAGACTAATTTTGTATGAACAAAAAGGGATTAAAATTTTATAAAGTTGTAATATATAAATAATGTTCCAGTATGTTTACAGCACAGATTTTCCTTATTTAAAATAGAAATTATTGTACATTATTGTGTTTGAAGTTGTAATTCTTAGTATTTATAAAGTTGTACGGATACAGCACTTAACTAATAATGGCTCTTTGTGACTAACGCCTGCGACCTACTGCAATTATGTAATAAGTGCCTAGTACCTACTTAGCTAACATTGACTTGACTAACTAGTTAATTTTATAAATATTTACGATAACTACTTTACTAAGGGACAAAGGTCCCAGTTCTTTCATAGTAAACCTAAATACCTACTTCGTTTGTATATGAAGTTAAGATTATGTTTATTAAAACTGTTGTTTCTATGTTATATAAATGTAGGCTCAAGTTTTGTTGCTTTTCGTTTGTATTCCAAATTAGTAAGATTTAATTTAAAATTAGGCTAAGGGACTTTATAGTTGGATAAGACTGCCTCGTTGGCCGAGTCCTCGCAAGTGCGACTGCCGGGCAAGGGGTCTCGGGTTCGATCCTCAGGTCAAGCAAAATATTACTGGGTTTTAAAAAAAATCTGATTAGTAGCACGGAGTCTGGAATTGTGCCCGGTATATGGCAATAGGCTCACCCCTCTCACTTCCTGAGTAGTGTGTTGTACAATGACAGTAAGTGCCGTAATGTACACTTCTGCCTACACCTACGGGGATAAAAGGCGTGATGTTATGGTGTGTTACTTCATAGTTTTATTAGTTTTTTAAAAAGCATTTTTTCACCTAACCCTGTCATGTAATAGACCATTAATTACAAACTAAATGATTGCCCTACATCATTCACGGTTTTCCGAAACCGAACTCACGTTTAATTAAATAGATATTTTACACAAATCATAGCGCGCATCTCAGTGACCTCTAGAGTAAGACAGAATCATATATTCGTCTCTTTTTCAATAACAGCATTTAATTCGATCTATAATTGCATTCGACTTTCTGAAATTACACTGAAAATTGGAGCGAAATACTAAACATAAGTAGGAGCATAACTGACATTTTGCACCTGTTGATCGTTAAATATTGGCAACAATGCGGATAACAAACTTACGAGTTATGATTCATAGAATCGCACAAAAATCGACTTAATAAAGTTGTAAAAGAAAAGCTGATTATGTACTGTTGTGGAAGGCAATTGTTCTTTGTAGTACGGCTTAGTACATGATCATGATTTGCCGCCATACTGATCAACCCATTGAGAATAGAAAACATCTGTTCTGCTAACTGCTATTGCAAAGGGCGGTAACTAGTGTTTGCTTGTGGTTGACTTAAAAGTTGGGCATCACCAGTAAAAAAACCCTTTATAAATAGTTAATTATTTAATTGTATGAAGCTCACTCATACATTGTTGAAAACTTAAACACTCTTGAGCCATAACTATGAAGCAAAAGGTTGATTACATGGTATCAAAATTAAAAATCGAATCAGTCCGTCAGTTAGATAAAGAAAAAATATTAGACACGTATTTTTTTATTTTCTCATATTAAGATGCAATACTTAGATTGTTACGTCATAATGTGCTACAAAATGTGGCACACTGTGACGTCACACGATATTTCAAATTAGTATATCGTCGAAAGTATTTAATTTTGTGAGAGGAGAAAAAATACGTTTCTAAAGTTTTAAATTAATGTACCACCCGAACATTAAAATAAAATTTAGGAATCCACCCTATTTGATAAGTATATTGTTGATAATTAAATGATTAGGTATCTACAACGGTCTAAAATTTTAAAAGACAAGCATTTGTTCAATAGTTTTTCCAAGAAACAAACAAATAAGCTAACCATGAGGCGCCACTACCAAAATTAAACTATTCTGCAAACACTATTTCAATACATAACACCCCTGACAAATTACTGATCATTGTTGCAGGTTGACGGAAAGCTCTTATGTTGGCTGTGCACTCAGTCTCTCAAACGAGCGCTGGCTAGAACCAAGCAGCATATGTCATCTGTGGACAAACATAAGCATAGGGGACACAAGTAAGTTATCAAGTATCTATACAAAAAAAAATAAGTCGAAGAAATGCTACAACGCATAAATCTTTAATTTGGTACCTGTATGATAAATCAATATATTTCAATCGTTTTAATTGTTTTGTGTTTAGTACCTACTTAGACAAAAAAGTAAAAGGACTATATTGCACTATAGTTAGAAGCCTTATCTTCCCAGATATGCAGTATACGAAATTAAAATAAAATGTAATGATAACTAAAAATCTCTGGTTACTCACCTGAATATACTGAGAAAAGCTCTACTAGTTTCGAACCATAGAGAGGTTCTTCCTCATGAGCGGCGTGCGCAGTCGCGACTGCGCACGCTGCGCGTAACCAGCGATTTTTAGTTAATTTAGTATGTCTCACGATAGTTATTATGAAAATGTAATATTTTATATAGAAATTAAATTATTTTTGAAACTATTCTTTTAAAAATTCAAGAAATTTAATGTATATTTAAGCTATTATTAACTTTCTAAAGTATTGTATAAATCTTAGGTCCAGGAGTGGACACAAGGAGAAGCGCAAGTCAGACATGATGAAGTCCATGAACTCTAATGATTCCTCACTGAATGACTCGCAGCCATCTGAGAAAAAATCTAAGATGAACCCATTGCAAGGTAAGCATCATTCTACATCTATTGTCCATTTATCCACCACAAATCTTTACTATTGAAATTCCCTCAACAATGGAAAAGAAAAATGTACTTAATATGATCATACCCAAACTTTTGTTCATACAAAAGTAGTCTCTTAGCATTGGAAATAAGGTCTACAATGGAGTTAATGGAGAGAGGTCACCGGTGACCATGTGAAGATTGAGCAGTTAAATAACCTGTTTTGTTATTATTCCTGTTAAAAAAGAGGCCAATGTATTCAGAAATGCCTATCTTAAAGTCTTTATTCAATTATAGACTTCATGCTATTTACTACCCACTGATAATTTCAAAATCGAAAATCCCTATAGTACTTTATCCAACTTGGTATTAAAACTGCTCTGCAGTAATGCTGGCGATGGCTTGCGAGTCAGTTTATGTAATAGATTAACTATTAGACAGTTAATTTTTTTTAGTTTCTATCTTTCCATCTCGCTTACTGTCGTGTGTCTCTCTCTTTATTGTTTTAAATTCAAATTCATTTATTAATTGGGTACTTGCCAACTAGTCAAATTCAATACTTTTTACGAACTGTCAAAAACAACAGTCTTCTATGAATTTTGTACGAGATTGTGTTAATACACAGACGCATACCTTATTAATTCTTAAAAATTGGCTGAAAAAATACCAAAATGAGGTCATAAAATCAATTGAAGTGTGTTTAATATTTAATTTTATTGAACAGTCGAAATAATTTATTTTTGATTAAGAAAAGTACCCAATTGTAAACATAGCTAAAATAGCTAACATTAGGGTTTCAAATAACGCTATGTTAGTTTTTGTCAGCATACAAAATTATAAAATACTTTAGATTAAGCTGCTTCCTTTCTCTCACGCTTGCGTATTTACTGGGTCTTCATAACAGTGTTTCATTAAATTACCCATGTTTGTAGTGTGTTACAAGCTACCAAAAACTAGTTTGGTAGTCATAGTGGTTTATCATGCTTTTGTAAAATATAGCGTTTTACAAACAACTACAGTTACGTAAACGCTCTATTTTGTGTTCTTCTTTTATTTACTCACGAAACTGCTTTCAAAATTCATTATCTTTGTCATTTCTGTCAGTGAAATGAGAAAGACAAAGTAGATTAGAACAAAATTATGTTTATAAATAATTGGCGATGATTCGAAGTTTTATTGTGGATACGGCGGCAGCGTGAGGTTCGGCCATAAACCACTCGGTAATATCTCAACAAGAAGACACAAACATGAAAAGAACTACCAAAAAAATCACACTGCGACCCTGGGATATGCAGCAAAATTGTTCAATGTTTTTCCACAGGTTGTAAATATGGACATACTAATAATCAGCTTTTTGTTTTCTTGTTTTTTTTTCGTTCTTAGTTATATTTCGCTCCATAGGTGAACTGGACCCCAACAGTTCTGACCATGTGGTAGCAATGACGCAGCTGAAGGAGACCATTGCCAGTCTACAGAAGAAAGTACAACAGAAGGACAATGAGTTACTTGCCAAAGATAAATTGGTGAGTTCATTCAATAATAGAGCTCTGATTTATTCGTCAAAGATTTGTCTTGTTCGAAGAACAGAAGAGTATTTTGAAAACCAAAAAGTGATTCTTAGGTCTTGTTAAATTTTACAACATATTTTAAAACATATTTCTTTACTTTCAGATCACGGAACTTAAAGCTCAGCACCTAAACAACACACAGGACCTACGGAACGAGATGAAGAACAAGGAGCGACTGAACGAGACAAAGTTTAACCTAATGAACACTAAAATACAGAACTTGCTAAAAGAAGTAGCGACACTAAGCAAGTCCGCTAAAAAAAACAATAAGAACACCAAGATTGCGCTAGCCAATACAGAAAATAGCGGCAGTGGAACAGACAGCCCGAGCACCAACTAGAACAATTTTCAACCCTAACTCCTTCATTTCTAGGTATATTATTACTCGACAAAAACAATGGAAATAACTTTCCTCTTATTTTTTTACTCTACAAATGGTTTTATTTGTAGAATTTTTATAATCATAAGCGTAAGTAGGTTTCAATTTAACGACATGATAGTTTTTAATTTATTACGCAAACTTGATAAAGTTTTTACCGTTTTATCTGAAGTACATTAATTAATATATCCTGTAGCGTCAATGTTACGTGTATAAACTGATGCGGGTTTAAAAGGTATTAAGTCTATGACTACTCAGTTGACAAAGAGGTATGATGGTAATTTGGAGATTATTTTTGTATAATTTTTCATTTGTCTTCAGTATCAGTGTATCTAAACTGAACACTAAAAATAAACCTTTATTATTGAACTACATAGGATAGTGCACAACAATCTAACGTGTAGGTTATTCTTATGTTTCCTAGGATTGTAATAGTCTAAATTTATAAATCTGTATCATATCGCATTTTTTTATTTTTGTATCAATTCTCTTGTTATTATTTTTTAAGTAGTTGTACAGTCTTGTGACAATGAAAGTAGTGTATACCTAATAGGTAGAGTCAGTTTGTATTCACGAATACGTTTTTAAATAAAGAACTACGTTATCGGAGTAAGTGTTCGATGTAAAATAAATTATGAAAATAAAAAAAAAGAAATGTGTGTCGAATTAAATTATTATGAATTATGTTAGTCCGATAGAAAAGAGGTTTGATGTAAGTGAGATATTCTGTAATGTTGTTAGATGTTAGCTATTTTAATTGTACATGAATGTTTGCCTCTTTTTGTTGGTGCGTTCACATTAATGTGTTAATGTTGGCACACCGTGTTGCAATGTGCACGCACCATACTGTGATCAAATCCCGGACCGGATAAAGTCTGTCATATCAGTGTTAACAATAATTTTGATTTATGATGCAACATTTGATTCGAATTTGTTTAAGTATGTGTGAGAGATATAGGTTAACGATATTAATGCGACACACTAATAAAATATTAAATAAGACTCAGTGTTACTTTTGTAAAATTGGAATTAAACGGCAATACAATAATTTAATAAAAAGAAACTGAATCAAGCGAGACCATCGCGATAGTTACTTAATATCTTGTTGTAGCTAAAAATGAAAATGGATGTTTAAAAAAAGACCTTATTTTGTTAAGAGTACAATTGATTTTTGGCTATGATCCTTGAGCTAAGGCGAAATGGATATTGTACGATCACAATTTTATAACATATCTGTAAGATTGTTTTGTGATTATTTTCTAATCAATCTTAATGTTTTACCACGTGACGCACACTTGACTATAAAACGTGTAAAAAATATTGTTAAGCCAATGTTTGTAAATCAAAAGATATTTTGATTCAATGAGAGTTGGTGTGGTTTCTTTTGCAGTGGAGTGCAGTTTTAAGTTGAACATTGGGTCTAGATAAATAATTTATTCCAAAAAATCAAGATCATGCTGAACATCAGCTTTCTCCAATGACTACCAGGTCAACCGATCAAACGCAGATTTTTTAATTGAATGTGGTAGAAAGACACATGACTTAAAACTACGTCAGCGCCATCTAGGGAGAGCAAAACGACAACTCTCATTGGCAAAAGTTATGGTATACAGAAGTGAGTTATCAAAATATTTCCTGAATAAAGTATATCTACCTATCTTTTGATGTTATGAGTACCCTAACCTACGTTATAGTTAAGCAGCCACAGATTATAAATATGTTCGTTAATTTTCTTTGATTACTAGTCTATAAAGCTGCTTGGCTAAAACGTGCGCATTTGAAATGTTATCTAAGTTGTTACAATAAATGTCATCTAATGATTTATTTTTCCATAACTATAAAAATGTGGTATAGTTCTGGAGGGGATATTTCAAATTACTGTAAACAATGTGTATAAAGATGCTCCCTCACCTGTATTCACGTGTAATGTAACATAATAGATTCGACTTTGAGCATTTCATAGCAAGATGTTAAAGCAAGATGTTCAAGATATTACACATTGTATCATTACAAGGTGCGCATTGTAATGCTCGATTCTCTTCCTTCACTGATGTAATGCTCAGATCTGTAACGTTACATTACCCGCGAATACTCCCGGGGAGGGAGCACCATAAGGTGTGCAGACATTTTTGTGATTGTGTACGAATATTTAAAGTTCTATTGTAAAATAAAATCGATTACTATCAACATCGGTAATGTCCGTATTGTAAGTTTCACGTGTGTATAAATGTTAAGGATAGATATAAAACTAGTTAACAAAATCTTAAAAATATATTACGAAAACAAACTTGTCGATGCTGTGGAACAAATATTCCAATAGAGTTATGACCTGAAAAAATAAGTATACTTGTTAGTGAAAAATGAACGAAATAAAGTGTAAAATGAATAATTTTTCTTTTATTTGGTTCTCCTTTTTGTATGAATTTACTACGGTTGCGATTTCCAATGCCGTATTTTTGGTATTTATTTTAGTTGAAATGAAAAATGTGATAACGAAATGAGCGAAACACGTCTCATAATGGGTATAAACAAAACAAAGATGTCATTTACTCGAGTGAATGACACGTTTCGCTCGTAAAATGTAACGCTCTGTCCGTCTTCATCCGCTGTCATTCTTTTTATCAGTTATTGTTTACACTTCCTCGAAAACAACTAAGTTTGGGGAACAAACATGACAAAATATAGGGCTGGTAAGGTGAATTTATGATATCCGCCATAACTTACTGTTATAGGTCTAAAAAGGTTTCTGTTTTATGGAGTAAGGCGGCAACGCAAATAGTGATCACCACTAGGTGGACATCCGCAACACCGGAGGAGTTCACAAGCTCACTTGTAAACTCAGCTTGTTGAGGGGTACTCCCTCCCGCTTGTGTGAGGTGGGAGGAAGTGTAAATTAAACTAGATTGGCAAGGACGGCGGAGAATTGGGTGGGTATCCTTCTGGGCTTCTGTTAACCTTCCTCACACGACGAGACATAACGCAAACGTTGTTTCCTACCAGTTTTTAGAATTTGGGATCACTCTGGTCGAGCTGCCTTATTTATGCCAAAGTCCCGCTGATTTTCTCCTGTGTCGTGGATGCGTTTATTGGACAAACAACATAATATTGACACCCGAATCCGGAACAACAATTTGTAGATCACACACAGAGTTGGTTCGTCTGCTGATTACCCAGCCACTACTCCAATCGTGAAGTCTAATAGTGTTTCCCTATTTCATTGTGTCGTTTCATGGGTTTACCTTCAATAGTACCTTAAGTAGGTTCCTATAAATGTATCTGCTTGCGTCTCAAAAGTTCTATGATTAATTAAACAACTCGTTTCACATCCAAGAAGGAAATTTACCTAATTATTTATCAAAAAATGGTTGAAGTATGAAGACTATGAAGTGTATTTGAATAGTAATTGTTTTAAACGAGGAAATTAATGGAATACACATACTTAATACATCGTTTTTGGTTTTTACAAGTAGTATTATATTCCGGGTATTGTTTCAAGTTAGTAGACTCGTCATCATTGCATTATCAGCTAATGACTAAGGACATCGGTCTTGCTTGGAAAGTTGCAATTGGGCTAGTTAAATACTTAGGTACCTACCTATAACAATTAAACTTACGTGCGTGAGTAAAAACTTTGCGGTTTTCCGCGGTAAGGAAGTCGTGACGGATGTCGTGTGTCCTAATTAATTAATTGGATGAAAAGAACAAGAAATTGGGTGGGAAAATTAGACTACAAGGACTAGGGATATCGGATGTGTCACGTTTTTTTCTTTTCAGGCATCTTTTGCGGTTTCCTGATCTTGTGGGTTTGTATTTTGGTACCTAAGTTATTTTTTTATTTTATTAAAATCTTTTGCCCCATACTAGGAGATTTTCCTGTGTCTTGGGTGCGTTTATAAACGTACAATTTTACAAACCTAAACCCGGAACAACATTTTGTGAATAAAACAAAGAATTGCTGTGTGCGATAATCGAACCCGCTACACTTTTCGCGGCAGCTGGTTGCCCAACCTTCGCGCCGACCGTGCAGTCAAACAGTATTCCGTTACATATATCTGTTAGCTCCTCTTAATATTTTAATTATAGGCTAGCTCTACATTGTAGATCATAAAATTTTCAGAATAATTTTGGAACCCATGGCTACCAATGAATGCTCAACGAAATCTATAGGTAGCTATGGAAACTATTCATACGATAAAGTAAATGTATTCAATATATTATATTAATTTCTAATTGTATCTAAACTTAACATGAAAGGTACAAGAATGCAAACGGCTACATAAGATACGAAATCGAACAATGATGATTTCCACTAGAACAAAAAAAACCGTGTTTCTTACACAAACTCAGAAATATTCCAAATAGGTAGGTACTTACGATAAAAGTCGGTCTTAAATTTTATCTCTGTCGCAATGTAATTGGCTAAAGTATGCAGCAGAAAATTTTAATTATGGCAGCCCTAATAAATTAAAATAAGTAGGTATCTACATACCTACATTCGTGTAACGCATAGATTTTTAGGGTTACGTAGGTAGGGACGTTGGAAAGTCGTTCTGGGACCTGCCGTAATATGGTGGTAAGTCGAGGCCTGCCGGGTGGGATGATACCGCAAGGGCGTCCCGAGTCTCGGCCACAGGCAAAGGAGGAACACCGCAGTGGTTTTAGCCTACGACGTGGGAAGTCCACGAGAATTTCCATCGCGTAATAAAAGAAGGTACGTTGGAAAGTAAAGAGAACAGGTAAAATACAGTTCAAATCAAAAAGTGTCCATGGGGGAGCACTATCATCTTTAATCATTTTAAATGCTATAAAAATCATCAAGTTTTTTAGTATTTAGATACCCATTCGCTAGATATTTAATAGAAACGTCCTTTTTAGACCATTTAGTAGTCTATATTTGTTTATAGGTATACGTAGATACTATGCTGAATTTCAGAGAGAGACTCATTATAATGTCATGGGCAATTACTTTCAAACATTTTCATGTTAAATTAACTACGTTTTACAGATCATTTAGGTACACGGGAAGTGTTACAGAAAAGTATTGTTTGATTGTCCTCTGATACGATTTTTTACTCCAACCGCAATAAATCAAATTGTGACGATAGATTGATTGAATGCAAAACAGTTGTAGATATTATGTCTCAATGCTTTGGCACTTAGAGGACGTCTTCTGAGAATTTATTAATTAGCTTAATATCTTCCTAGTTAACGAAGGTGCTGAGATAATGAGTGATAAATCTATTCAAATGTTTGATGCAAAAAATACCAGCGACCATAGAATAAATTGAAAGCGACACTAGTACCTACCTAATATAAAAGATGAAAGTATCAAATGTTTTTTTGTTTATTCAGCACACTTCGAATTTGAACTTGATTCAATCAGATCTTTTGTATGTTTCAAGTCATTTACTTAACCCCATTCCCTCTATTCCACCGCACAAAACTGAACTATTGACTTAAAACTCTCGACCTCCATAAATGAAGAGCGGTCAAGAAATTTTTCTTTATTTTCTATACGGAACCACAGCTTAGCTGTAGTGTTAAGTGTTTGATCACCGTTTTGTACCACATAGCTCTGGTATATAACACAAGTAACGTTGTATTACAATCAAATCGCACTTTTGAATTAGTCAGTCTACGAGTGGTAGTGCTAAGGCGCAACGGTTCCAATTTGAACAATGGATTTGAAAATTCTTTTTATTTTGAGTTTGACTTTAGTCACCATCGCGCAATGCAAATGTTAGTTCATTCATGTTATCAATTTCGTTATTTTTTTTAAATTGTGTATTAATTTTTTTTATTGTGATTGTGATGTTCGTCCTAATAAATTGGAAGTTCGTTTCAGTGGTACGGTTGTCGTGTAAACACATACGTACTCTGGTGGATGGCCACAATTCCCGACGTCTCCAAATAGCCAAAGGGTCGATTCTAAATCAACCCGCTGCTGCAGAAATGAAAATGATGGTCAGTATCTTTTTAATCTATGATTAGTATAAAACCGTTTAAAAACCGAATGGTTGTATAAGTCTTCAACGCTCTTTTTGAAATTGATAACACTAAATCAGAAATAGCAATATTTATGCATATGCACGATACCTACTTTTGGTGGTAGAACCTGTCTACTACCAAAAGTAGGTATCGTGCAGTTAATGTTTTTTTCTCCTTTATCGTTTGGGTTCATAATGTAGTACTCACTTTTCACTAGTTATATTATGAATCCCATTTATTTAAACTGTCAAACACCAAGCGGTCACCGGTGACCGCGACCTATTGTTCTTTAATTGTGTCTATAAAACCGGTACTCGACGAGTTAAATAAAACGTTGCGCCAGTGTAGTATTTTCTGCTATGTCTTGTGTGTTTACAAATATATAATTTCACATACACATGACACCCAGACCTGGGCCGTCTCAGACTACGCTGGGGCCCTTGGGCACACAATAATTCGGGGCCCTTGTGGAATATTTTGTCACAAAAATTTGCTCCGTGCGGGAATTGAAACCACTACACATTGCTGGGTAGCCGGTTGCCGCGCAACTTGTAGCGGGAGCCCCTGAGTATGAGGGCTCTGGGCACGTGCCCCGAGTGGCCCTTATGGTAAATACGGTACTAACCCAGACTTTCGGATCATACAAAACATTGTTCCGTTGCGTGAATCCAACCCGCAGCTGGTTGCAACCGGTTGCCCGAGTACTGAACCATTCTTATCACGATATACTCGTTTGTTGAAAGTGCATTCACACACAAATCTGGATTTCCACTGTTAAAATGTCTAAAATGGCTGCAGTCCACCCATGTGCTTGTTTGTGTGCATACAGCTTTTAAAATAAATAAATAACATAGGAAACATTTATACTAAGTATTTTACATATTTCCTTAGTGCCTAATCTGTTTTCTTAATTCTTTTGTTTCAGTTATGGGATGAAGAGTTGGCCAAAAAAGCGGAGAAATGGGCAATCAAAGACCACAATTACCATAACCCGGACAAGACTTTACGTAAGTACCTAGATATCACTACATAGTATAAAACAATGTATGTATGCTATGTATGCTTAGATCTTTACAACTACGCAACGGATTTAGATTCAGTTTTTTTTTTTTAATAAATAGAGTGATTCTGAAGCAAGGTTTATGTGTATAATACATGCATATTGCACCCGTGCGAAGCCGGGTCACTAGTTATTGTATGAACTGGATATATTCCTACTCCAAATAAATATCCAGATTCTTAAGGGAGAAAATTTGTTCATTTCCCTAGAACGAACTACATCGAGCTTCATTGATGTTTTTTTGACTCGTTGCTCTACTCTCACTCTAGATCCTAATTTACATGAGTTGCAGTGGTTGAAAAGTAGAGGCGAAATATATGCAATTTATCTTATCTTTATATCAACTTCAGTACCTACATTTATTTATTTATTTATTTATATATACTTTATTGCACACACAGAAAAAAAATTGTAAACATTGCAACAGTAATTAAAGTACAATGGGCGGTCTTATCACACGCGGCGATTTCTTCCAGACAACCTTTGGATGGAATTTTAGAAAAGAATCTGGGAATGGGTGGTAGATGCACAATAAAAATAAATCAAAATAGAAGGAAAGCAATAAAAAAAAACAAATTAAACAATCAATGAAACTTACAGACTACATATAATACATAAAAGATAAAAATGGCAATACTATTTAATAAATATATACTTAAATGTAAAATGATAAATAGATATAGTTGCGTGTATGTGTGTGTGTGTGTGTGGTGTGTGTGTGTGTGTGTATATGTGATGTGTTTATCCATAATGAAAGGACAAAAGCATAACTACAGTGACAGGTAGTGTTCCTTCACACGTCCTTTAAACTGACCCAGAGTTTGAGCACGTCGCACTTCCACCGGCAGCGCATTCCACAACCGAGCCGCTTGAATTGTGAAGGACTTGTCATAAAAGCAAGTGGAGTGCTTACAAATGCTGAGCTTAAGATTTTCCGATGATCTCAGGAACTTCGAATGTGTGACACCCAGGAACTGAAAACGTTCCTTTAAATAGAAAGGGGCAGCAGGATTAAAAAGTACATTAAATAGTAACGAAAGGATATGAGCGTTCCGGCGAAGGCGGATAGGCAGCCATTTGAGCTTACTACGAAATTCAGAAACATGATCATACTTGCGCAAACCAAATATAAATCTGATAGAAAGGTTTTGAAGGCGCTCAAGCTTATCCAATTGTTCTTGGGTGAGATCTAGATAGCTGACATCAGCATAGTCGAGTATTGGTAGAAGAAGAGACTGTGCAAGTGCAATTTTGGTTTTAGTGGGTAAGAAATTACGAAGACGCCTTAAGGAGCCCGCTGAAGCAAACAACTTTCGACTGACCACCTGCAATTGTTTATTCCAGGAGAGGTTACTGTCGATGTAAATCCCCAGGTTCTTAACATCGCGGGAGAAAGGAATTTTCGTATTTAGAAAAGAAACTTGGGGAAGACTTGTCCAATTCATTTTGGAGACGACATACATTGTAAGTACGTAATAAACATAGATATCTAAAAGCTAGACTATCTATGTATAACACACAATTTTCGCCAGTATTATTGTTTTGTCAATGCGGGTTGAATGTCATGACGAATGAAATCTATCAGATAAATAATCATCAATATTAAGGACAAATCTGTACTGTACTGTCGTCGTGTGTAATTGGAACCCAGCACTGTTGTTTTAGTGAAATGGGCAAACTGAGGTGATTTTAAAGGTCTGACAGCTAGTCCCCTTCGTCTTCCCAACATGAAGGGGCTACTTGAGGATTTTCCTTCCAACTTGCCCTCAAATAATAATGAAATACCTAGGTACTTCCTGTAGTTCCCTGTAATGTATTAAAAATTAATTAAATAGGTACTGTAAAAACTGCCTGTAATTGATGTACTAACTAAAAATTAATTTAAAAAAAAAATATGTTAGCTTAGCAGTGTTATTCTCATTTAATTGAAAGAAGTAACTACCGACTTAAAAATAAATGAAACGATCTACTTATGAAAGTGATTTGATACCGTTAAGTGAAATGTATGTCAAACATAAGTAATGCTTGTGAATTTGACTGCATTAGGTACCTATTCTTCAAACTTAAAAAAAAAACTTCGACACAATGAAAACTTAAAGGAGGCAATGGGGTTACCATGCTAGAAGTTTAAAGTTAAAAACGATTCATATTTTTTGTTTTTTTTTTTGTGGAGTTAGTATTTGCCCAATTACGCTACGAATAAGTTGATGCTCAATTATTATTGAGTTTAGGATCCTATTAATTTGTATGATTCGGATTCGGATCGGTGTTTGATTTTATCTTCACATCTGATATTTTGTCTTCTATCTTCCCTGTGATCATGAGCTTCTCTAATCTGTCTATCTTTCGCCAAGCCATAAATCTAAAGTAGGAGAGTATCCTTCGGAGACAGATTCTTTTTTTTTTTTTAAAAAAAAAACTTTGCCCCATATTAGGATTTTCTCCTGTGTCGTGGGTGCGTTTACAAACATACAAGTTCACATACACATGACACCCAGACCCGAAACAACAATTTGTGGATCACACAAAGTGTTGTTCCGTGCGGGAATTGTATTGTAGATTGTAGATAGTCTCTTCGTAGTGATGCGAAGTTATTTGAGAATGGAAAATTGAATATAGAGAATAGAATACCTAATTATTAATACACTTCACAATCAAGAGTAAGTATCTGTTTGGAACATTTTTCACAAACGCCAAATCTTAAAAGCATCATTTTTGCTCAAAATGAATTTTTGTGTGATAATGTCACATTATCAGAATAAAAACGTAAACTATTGTAAAGTAACTCCATGGTATTATAATGATAATTCTTTTGTAATTAGGTAGGTAGACAAGTTGGAAACGTTACTAGAAACTTACTTATTTACAAGATTACTAAGTTTTTGTAAGTAATATGAAGTTTTAACCAACATCAATACCATCTCATGTGGAGATTATTAACCTATTAGCTTACCTAAAAATTTTAATGGGCTGTCTCAAAATTTTAATACGACTGTTTTCCTTGTATTTTCCTACTCAAAGTGCTTCTTCTTTGTTTGGGATTTGAAAAACAATAAACAACCGCGAAGTAAAATAAAATACCAATTTGTACGTTTATTCAATTGGTCAATTGATGGGCAAGTCACGTACAAAAAGTTATTATGAACCTCTGTCCTATGTCGGATGTCCATACTTGGAAGTTTATTATAGCTATTTTCTTTGTTTTACAATAATATTTCTTTTTGTTTGAGAAATACCTATGCCTAATTGTCTAATATAGTTTTAGTTTAACAATGAAAGGATGCCAATGATGCCATAATAGTATCTCTAATTTTTGTTATTGTAACTTGGTATCTATTAGATATTATTCGTGGTTAGTTTTCTATTCCGGTCGGCCTCTTCTAGAAAATACGTATAGATAAGTGTGGGAGAGCCATGCTTCGGCACAAATGGGCCCGCCCGACCAGAGTGATACCACGGCTTCACAGACAACGGATTTGAAACAACGCTTGCGTTGTGTTTCGTCGTGTGAGTTTACCGGAGGCCCAATTACCCCCTCCCTAATCTCCCCTATGTCGAATCTCCAACATCCTGAAATTCCTAATTCCCAAAAGACCGGTAACGCACTTGTAATGCCTCTGGTGTTTCAGGTATCCATGGGCGGCGCCGATTGCTTACCATCAGCGACCCGTCTGCCCGTTTACCTGCTAATATCATAGAAAAAGAAAAGTTCTTAAAAACGTTGACATGTAAAAGTGCTGTTTTGTAGCCTATCTTTATATATATAATTCTTCTGTGAGTGTGTATGTCACTGAACTTCTCTCAAACGACTGGACCGATTTTGTGTGTGTTCAAGGGAATCTGGGAATGGTTTAGATTCACAAATCAGCCCTGCAGATGGCGCTGCAGTCGATGTTTAGGTTATTTATCCTAAACAGCTGAATTAATTTGAATGCATTTTTGTTTATACATTCAAGTGGATATGCAGGACAACATCTGTTGGGTCCGCTAGTAATTATATAATTAATTCCCATTTTATTTCATTACATTATTCAATTTGAGACTAGAATAACTAGATAGATAGTCTAAGTTTCAAACATTGTTTAGAAAAAACGACTAGTTAGGGTTAGCTTTGCCCTGGTCATATTTCCCTATGTTCCAGCCGTTCCAGTTGAATGTACCTTTTTTAGTTTTAATAAAAACCTTTTCGTAGCAATGAAGAACGAAAAAAAAGATTCAATTTGGTCAAGTAGTTCGGGAGTTATGTGCGTAGGGTAAATTAGTGCATAGGATTCCGTGAACGCGTACCTATTATAGTAGACAGATGCCCGAATACTGAAACGTTACTCAATTTTAAGTCGCGCTTAAAAGCATAGTTCTGTCTCTACAAATTATTTTTAAAATGACAGAGACAGCACGATATTTAAGCACGACTTAAATTTGAGTAACGTTTCAGTATTCCAGCAAGAAACTACCAATTTAACATAAAATAAAAGATGTGTAATGTTATGTTAATTTCAGCTTCTGGCAGATTTCTGACGGGTGAAAATTTGTATTGGTACTCAACAACCAATCACAAATACAACTTGGACCTTGAAAAGGGTCTGGATTCCTGGTTTTCCGAACACGTCAACTTCACCTTCGGTCCTTTAACAAACGCTATGTTCGATCAGAACAAACCTCATGATATTGGACATTACACTCAGGTATCACGCATTACAAACATACTTATGTTTAAAATTAGCATCCTATTGCTGCAGCTGGAATACCTACCACGGTTTCTTGTGCCTAGAATTAGGTATAAGTACCCCCATCTAATAGTAATTTCAGTTTTTTCGTACGCATTATTTTTATTGCTCATTTGGTGCAATGGTTAATTTTATTTTCATAGCATTTGAACAAGTTACATACAACCCTTACGATACATGGTGACAACTGCTTGAATGCGAATATTGTGGTGTGTCACCGCCTTAAGCAAGTGTGATTATTAATGAGTGAAAAGAGGCCGTTGCTCAGCAGTGGGCATACTTATAGGCTGTTGATGTGATGATGTGATAATAACACTGGTCTGCATAATTTCACTTTAATGAATTCCTAGCTAAAACAATGCATTTTTTCATAGAATTAAGTATGAGTACGTCTATCATATCTAAATTGTACGTAGTCTGTTAACAAAGTTGAATAATTTGATCATTTTAACATACCTCTATGTTATTGCTTTAGATAATATTAATTATTCCATTTACTATATTTTTACAAATTAATCAATAAATTTCAAGTTTAGTTATCTTTATATAGCACTTTGAATTGATTCTTTAGCATTCACCATAGCTGAGATATATGGCAGTATATTTACTAATTAGGTATTAATTTTTCCAAACGACATAATTCCAGGAATTTGTCAGAATATTGCACGAAATCTAGACGTGTACTTTCTTCGAGTTTATTGTTTAAGCTGGGAAAAATTCATGTTGATTAGTGCAATTAATATCTATCTCTTACTTACTCCCTGAAGAATTATATAAAAAATCTAACAAAATATGAATGGCAAATATCTTTTCCAGATGGTGTGGGCAGATAGCAGTTACCTAGGCTGTGCTATGACACAATCGTTCAAAGACGAATGGAACAAATTCTACGTCGTGTGTAACTACGGGCCGACGTAAGTTGCATTACTGTGTAGCCACACATTTTGTGTGGACGTGGGTGTTGCGCTTAATGTTGGTACAACAATCCATATTAAACACCGTATATTTTCTTCGATTTATCTTCTCCTCTAATAGTATCCTCTCATTTATTTTGTTGCGGGATCCGAGATAGTTATTCAAGTCCCTGGGACTTCAGTGTTCCGGTGTTTTCCTGGTTATGTCTACTATAGATCCAGGCTATTCTGTAAGATGTCAATTCTAACAGGAGTTGCAGCGGTTTTAGGAGGCAGCGGGGTTTGCCCCTTTTAAAAATAAAATTGAACACCCATTTTTATTTTTCTATAATAGGACAATAGGTACCTATTGGTGTTCGAACCACCAAAATTGAAAGAGGTAACATAGAATAGATATTACTCTACGTATTACATTAAAATTGTCTTACAAAAATGTGTGCGTTTACCAACTTAACTTACGACAAATAAAAAAAAACTGATGTTTTTTGGGATCGTAATTTTAATGGGATTAGATGGGTAGGTACATGTATTCGCAATTTTTGGTATTAATTAAATGGTTAACGTCAACAAATTTGAATTACTTAGATATTTTAATGCTACCAATCGTGCATGACTATTATAACATTGTCAATTATAATACATGTAATCATTAATAAAAACATTACCTAATAATAACTTCATCAAGTACCTACATCTCAGCAGTAAAATTATGCTTTCAATTTCAGAGGGAATTATATACGCGAAAAACCGTACCGAGTGAGTGGAGGCCCTAGTAAAAAATTAATATGTGGCACTAAAGACTGTTCCAGACCGTATGGACCGAAGTGTAAAAAATAATTATAAATAACTCGAAAACGACCAGTGGCGTAACTATAGGTACTGCTCGGAGCCCGTGGCAAATGCACTGAATGAACCCCTGTTCCCAATATAAAAAAAAATTGTTCAGATGAGAATCTCAGGACTGGGGCCCCTCCCGGTTCGGGGCCCGTGGCATTTTGGTGACTTGCCACCCTATAGTTACGTCCCTGTCGACCACGAAAATTAAAATAAATATTTAATGCCAATGTATTTATTTAGAGTTTAAATGTAGGATAGGATGTCTAGACAAGTGCAAACTATTTACAAGTAGATAACTCTTTTCTATAAAAAAATTGAGTAGGTTACAATTATTTATCACTAACTTATTGTATTACCTACCTATACTGAAGGCAAATGTTTTTTTAATAGAAGCGCTTATCTAGACTTCTTAGCTTATGTTAAGTCTTATTTATATTTAACTGAAAGTCGAATAATTCGAATAAGTCTTGTATAATACCTACAGTATCCTTACTATAAATGGGAAAGTGAGTTTGTTTGTTTGTTCCGCTTTCACGCTGTAACTTCTAAACCGATTGCTTTGAATTTTTGCAGACGTAAAATTAGAAGTCCGGATTAAATAATAGGGTTATTTTTATCCCGAATAAATTTGATATTTTCGAGGGAAAACGAAATTATTGGTATAGATGGCGCTGTATGTATAGGTATATGTCACATAAACTACTTTTTATCCTTTTGTGACGCGAGCGAAGCCGCTGGTAAAAGCTAGTAATACAATAATTGGTATTGGTAGCTGTAACTGTTTTTCGCAGACTATCTGTTTAATTAAACCCCAAAGGTTGACTAGTAATTTAAATATAGAAGATCCAACAGTCAAACTATTTATAAGTATATAGTTTTGTTGGACATGGCGTTAGATTGTAAGGCATATCATATACCATTATTATTAATAAATAAATAAATAATAATAGTACAGAATGCCATGTCACATTAAACTATCAAACACCAAGCGGTCACCGGTGACCGCGACCTATTGTTCTTTAATTGTGTCTATAAAACCGGTACTCGACGAGTTAAGTTCGCCTTATTTAAGTACCTATCACTGTTTTATTGTATTGTGGTGGACATGAAAAGTGAAATTAAATAAATAAATAATTTAAGTACCTAATGTTATATAATTATGTAGAATCGTTTTTATTGTCACCTTCTTTTTGCGTATCTGTTTTGTGACTTGATATGAGTTTTCTGCGTATTCGACTTGCTTTACTGATGCTGCCGTTATCGGGCCATTCAAACAATTTTCACAATGCAGGGCACGTTAGAAAATATAAGTAAGCTCGAAAACAGTATCTACTTAAGAACTTACCTACAAAATGCTCAAATAGTTACTTACTAGATTAAAATATCTCTACTAAATTACCAAATCAATTGAACCAATTATTATATGGTGATTGATTGTAAAATTACCTGAAACATACAACATTGATTGCATAATTGCATACCTATGCCATAACTTCTTGGACACAAATCTAAATCCGATGTTCTTCAATAAAATATCCTTAAGTTACCTTTTAAGTACCTACTCTTTAACCCCTGAAAGTGTAGGCAAACAATGTTAAACTGGGCCGCGGAGGAAGTTAATGCCCTAGGTTTCGCGAACAATAATTACCTACAATTACCTACAAGAACAATTATCTATTAAAGATTTGTAAGTTAGCCGTAAAAATAGATGTTGTTATTGTGGATGTTGCACCATCTAGCGACAAAATGGCAGTTGAAATCATCATCCATCCACCTTAACGGGTTGCCGGAGCTCCGGCTCGAAGTGCGGGAGTAGGAACGGAGTGGTTTTTTAATCAGTAAGAGTCTGGCGAGAGAAATCGTAGGATGATTTACCCCCTCAAGAAAAGACAATGTTAAACTACAATAGGTATAGATAGGAATAGTGTTACTAACACATTTTTTTTGTTATCATTGTCAAACAACAAATAATAAATGGGAGAATCCTCAAACATCATAATCAACTACTTAACATCATGGGTACGAACCGATACGACCTTCAAACCTACAAGAAAAGAGTGTATTCCTTTTTAAAAGGCCGGTATCGCACCTGTTAGGTACTCCTCTGGTGTTGCAGGTGTCCATGGGTAGCGCTGATCGCTTACCACCAGGCGATCTGTCTGCTCGTTTCCTCCGATTCCATAAAAAAGTGGGTATCTAAGCTTTGTTTTTTATAGACAGCATCCATTTACCTACACGTTAAAAATCGAGTGACATTTTGTCGTGACAGTAATGACACTAATTGCCCCATGGCCCCATCATCAGCGTTGTCGATATCACGCAAGTCGATGGGGAAAATTAACTGATATAGGTAGATAATTAACAAGAATTCCTTTAGTGGCAATGACATAAATGATGGTATTGATTTACAAAGAGTTATCAATTGCGATTGCGTTAACTTAATTACGTATATAACTGTTATTTACTTATTAACTAGACGTCATTCCGGTGATCCTGATGCAAAACTAGTAGGTCCTACCTACGGCATAGGGATTAACTCAAACACACAGGTCCTATGCGTTAGAATTAATGAAATTTTAAAAAAATGTACCTAAACGTGGGGCAATGCGGTGGCTGGGCATCATGTCGCGTGGGGCAATTGGTGTGTGTGTGTGATCCACAAATTGTTGTTCCGGGTTTGAGTGACAATTTGAATGTTTGTAATCGCACCCAGGACACAAGATAAGATCCTAGTCAGAGAACCTAACGGGTAACCGGGGCTCCGGCTCGACGTGCAGGAGAAGGAACGGGGTGGTTTTTAGTCAGTAAGAGTCTGACACTTCCTTCCGCCTCACCCAGGCGGGAGCAGTCATTCGATGATTTTCCCCCCATAAAAACAAAGTGCGGGGCAACGTTCAAAAAAATTGTACAGGAAGGAACAGAACTAAGTACTAAGTTGTTGCCTGTAGACACCTAATAGAGACGATAAAGCGATAAATAATATCGATAAATATTTTAAATAAATAGGTTTTATACTACACTACAGATGGGACTTACTAATCTTAAACATTCCAGAAAAAAGGCTGAGACATTCTCACGCTAGCCAAGTAAACGAAACAACTAAGCACAACAAAAGAAACTTAGGTAAGTACTTCGATTGCTACACTATATTAATTTCTGTCTTCTCATTAAGTAGATTTTAATACGATTAATCAAAAATTTATCATAATTTTCGGCTATCGTGAAACGAATTCGGCTCTTGTGTCGTACAAAATTATCGCAAAATCCGTACTGCATAACTACTAATGATAGATAGTTAAAGTACATATGTACATACATGTGTACAAAGGATGTTTCTTAACTTATAAATACTGGACATGGGCAATAGTGTAGATGCCTAATTTTTATTTTAATGTCCGTCTACTAGGTTACTTTAAAACACTAGACACATATTTTTTATTTTCTAACAAAAACAAATAGTTTCGGCGATATATTGATTTGAAATGTCGCGTGACGTCACTTCTATGTACCTACATTTTATACGTAGAAATGACGTTTTAGCCCCCACTCCTAAACTTTGATTACCTAGATAAAACAGGTACTATTTTAGTAGACAACAAAATAAAAAAATAGATAGGTACGTGTCTAATATTTTTTCGTTACCTAACTTACGGACTAAATAGATTTTTAATTTTCGTATCCTGTCATCATCCCAATTGGGCATGCTATGGATATGGTCACGAATGAAAACCGTTACTTGATTTTCTTTTGAAAAAGTTAAGCGAATGTTCCAAATGTGTGACGAGTGAACTCTACTACTCTTTTTTAAGATTTAGGACTGATGCTCAGAATGCAAAAAGGGTGGACCCTTCTTTATTTATGACTGGAGGATACTTTCAAAATGCGTTACATTTTGGGCAAAAATACTAGGGAGCTTTCTTAACTCATTAAAACCACCCTGGCATTACTATCACCCACATGAGGGGCACATGGTCCTCTAAATAGATCAGCTGTGAAGTGTGTGTGACACTGTGCAACATCTCATACTTAAGATGGGAAAAGGAAATTTTACATAAGTATATATCGGATATACATACATAAGTATATACTTATCGGATCCCGAGTTAAAATAAAAAAGCATGCTGTACAAAATATTTTGATAAGTATGTACCTACTTAGAATATCTTAATCACCTTGATTGATAAGGGTATTTCGATTTTTTAATCGCTTAAAAGATATCACAATTAGGCTATCCAATATAGCCATAGTGGATGGCAAATGTGTTTAATAATTATTTATTAGAAACTGTAATAAAAATGGTAAGTAAACATGTTTATTAATATTAATATTACTTGTATTTATTGTGCTTCCTGATTTTTAATCTGTAAATTAGATTGGTGTTAGATTAATCTAAGATATTTAGAAGACGATGCTATAAGAACTGAATAAGTACATATTAAAATATTTGGATGTTGCATGCTGATCTAAAATTTTCTTTTGACTTTCTTTTATATTGTGGAACCTACTCCACAATATAAAAGAAAGTCAAACCTACATATTTTATGTGCAACTTATTCTTGAAAGAAATTAATGTGCTTATTCGCATCGGATTTCTTTTTGCAATAAAGACTTTCCGGTAATATTTGTGCAAGGCACAGATATATTTTTAACATTTCTGTGGTGCAAGGAAAATGAAAAACTAAATTAGCAATTACCAACTACAAATTAATTAAAGCCGAAGATCAAACACATTAGAAAGCTATTAGTGATACCTATATAATATGTGTCTATATCCAGTAGTGGATAGAATCTAGATAATTAGATAAGAGATTAGATTCAACCATGTAATTTATATATGTGTAAATAAATATTTTTCTTTCAACTTTTTCAGAGGGTCCTTTTACTACTCCTAAGTCTATTCGCCGCGTCATGGGCGGAAGAACAAGTGGCCAAAGAGCCCAGGGTTGTGGAGATGACTATAGGAGTAGACATGAAGCCCCCTGAGGAGTGGGACAGTCTACCCACGAGGAATGTCGTCACCAGCTGGATATCCATGCCACTAGATCACTTTGACCCTCATAACTCAAGAACTTTTCGAATGGTACGTTTAGTTTCTTAATTCCTTTTTTTATGGAATAGGATAGCAAATTGTGTCCATGGGCACCTGCGAAACCAGACGAGTTGCAAATGCCTTTTGATAATTGGAGAGGAATTATTGCGGACGCAAATGCAATTGAGAACTGGCTTGACCAGGCGTTTTTATTAAATGTTATAAAAAAGATATAAACTCTTTTTTATTGTAGAGATTCATGTTCAACGAAGAATTCTTTGGTGGCGATGGATCTCCGATATTCATCCTAGTTGGTGGAGAGTGGGCCATCGACCATCGTTGGTTGCTGGCTGGCAATATGTACGAGATGGCCCGAGAGAACAAAGGATACCAGATATACACTGAACATCGCTATTATGGAGAAACTAAAATTTTCGAGTAAGTTGAAAACCATGGAATGTTTAAGAAAAGCTGTTGGTATAACTTTTGTCATAGTAAGCTATTAAAGACTGAAAAGGCAGAAATAAATAGCTTTCTTGTGGACAAGATCAAGGCAAGTTTGAAACGCTAAGCCCTTAAAAACTCATTTTCTAAGAAAATAAGATCACGTTGAGCCTTGCGGACTAAATAACCACTAAATTCATTTAAGTACTGCTTTTATAACAGGAATATACCATCTTTACTTTTCGTAGATACCCATGTACTACTATTTATATCTTCTTACAGTGAGTTCACTGCTGCAAACTTACGTTTCTTGAACATTGACCAGGCGCTCGCTGACCTTGCGTATTTCATAGTAGAGATGAAGAAACAGGCGCGCTTTGCTAACAGCAAAGTGATATTGTACGGAGGATCATACGCTGCTAACATGGTGATGTGGTTCAAGAAGCGTTATCCTCACTTGGTGGTCGGCTCCGTTGCATCCAGTGGACCGATCCTAGCCAAAGTTGATTACCCTGGTTTGTATTTTTATACCGCTATCCAATATTAGCGAAAACTATTTTTTATTTTATATAATTGAGTCCATCCAAGCTGGGAACAAAATGTAAGTAAGGCTGAGTCTAATCAATAAGCCTTATCAATATTATACATAATAATTACCTGCTAAACCTACTCACATGTGGATTTATTACGTGGACTAAGAGAAAGAACCTCCAAACATTGATCTCAAAGCCAATGCCATGAAGCAAAGACCAAAAATTTATATATTTGTTGTTAATTTCAGAATACTTGGAAGTGGTACATGAAGCTTTTTTACTGGAGGGAGGAGAACAGTGCATATCACACATTCGACGAGGAATAGATGACACACTCGCCGCTTTACGCACAGAATCTGGAAGACGCATGGTGGAACAGGCGTATAGGTCAGTATTCAAGGTTATAGAGGACAAACAAAATCCTCAAAACTAAGAATGTAAATGCGAAAGAAATCATCTGGATATTTCGAACATTAATGCTGCTCTCACTAGGCTAGTAGGCATAACACACTGCATAATTTTGTGTAATTTTCGGGCTTCGTACGGAGTCGTACAAAATTAATCTCCAGGTGGACAGTATCATTTATAAAGTTTGCATGTAACTGTAATAAAGCTGTCTGGAACCTGGATCATCTGAATTCACCTTTATCGTATAAATTATTATGTTTTCGGCTTACTCACGTGGTAATTTGACGAGGAACTCGACTAGTTTCAAGCCGTGCTAGAGGCTCATATTCATGAGCAGCATTTCGCGACACGCGACGCGGCGACTGTCGCGCTGCTACTCATAAAACATAATAATTTATTTAGTATGTCTCACGAAAGTTACAATACAAATTTATCGTATAAAGATAAAGAATAACAAGGTTTTGTTTCTTTTTTCAGGCTCTGTGGCCCACTGAATTACGATAATGTCTTTGACATGGGATACTTTGCGGGGCTTATCACTTGGAGTTTCTCCGGTGCAGTGCAGCGAGCAAGGCCGGGAACTTTACTAGATGCTTGTAATCATTTCCAGGCTGGAACTTTTGGTAAGCAACGCTGTTGTTGTTATATCCATGATGAAAATTGATTCAGAAAAAGTATCACGTCTGTTATTCTTAGAAGGCGATGTGCTGAGGTGTAACTATAATTATCTGCTTTTAGTCCCATTATAATAGGAGTTGAATATTCTATTAATGAATGACTATGATTTAATCTTTGATTATATAATGTCTAGATGGAGTGTCAGTTCACGAAAAGCGGTCCAATAGTTTGCAGTGAACTGTTTACTGCAATGCGTTTTACCGTCAAGTAGTACCAATCAAAGAGTATAATCAAAGGATTTAATATGCCTTTCATATATACAAGGTGTAAACGGAAAGTTACAAAAAACGCATTTGTACAATATAATCGGATTCATTGAACACCAGTCTTGAGTAGTTTGTTACAGCCATTATTACATAAAATTAACATTTAATTCCTTACTTTTCTTAAACTGTAAGTTGTGTATTACTATCACCGCGTTTTCGGGAGAGTTTCGTTTACACCTTGTATATTTCGGTGACCTAGTGGCGATTATATCAAAACCTTTTTACGTGGAGCCCTTAGTTTAAAATTATACGTTTTATGATGATGACAATAAAATTACAGGATCAACTCCAATGGAGCAAATTGGTGGATTCATAGCAGCCATTCAAGGACTAAGCTGGAACGGCTGTTGGACTATTACTTATGAGGCTTTACTCAACGCATACAGTCACAGAACTAATTGTAAGTAAATTTATGTGATTTAATTTTATTTAAAGTACAATGACAATCGTGGTGGCACGGAGGCTTAAGACGCCCGCTTCTCATGCTTGAGGGTACCTACGGGTCGAAACCTACCAGCAGCAAGTATAAGCCGATGCATTAAAGGAAGGAATCTTAAATGGCGGTTTGTACATACTTGCGTTGACAAGTAGTACAGTTAGCATATAAAATTTCAAGTCGAATATTATTTTGAAAATAGAAATAATAAAAAAAATGATCGGGCCGTATTTATTTCTAACCACTTGAAGATTTGAAAAACACTTTATTATGATTTTGGTGGTATGAATAAAGAACGAATATTAGGTACTTTTAACTCATTTATTAATACTATCTATGAGACGGTCCGTCACCGGGATTATTTTTATGTCTACGGTACGCGCGAGAGTGAGTATAGACGGCACTAGTGTGCAAGCGAGAAAACATGATAAGCACCGCCATTTTAGATTCCTTTCTTTAATGAACCGCGTTATACCAATATTTTTTTATTATACAGTCATAACGGCAGAAAACCCAATCACAGTAACTGACATATTTACAACAATAAAACAAAAGAAAAAGAAAAGTAAAACTTTATTAAAACAATGTTTAACATTATTCATAAGTTTCTCTCAAGTATTCTGATAAAATCTCCGTCCATCCGATTGGAATCCAGGAGATCATTGAGCGTGGCTAGAGTGCGAGGAATAGGTGATATAGGACGTGCGACGCTACGATATGAGGGGACGGCAAACAGCTTTTTACCCCGGCAGTAATTATCAGGAACGTAAAAGCGCGATAATGACTCCAGTAGATCTGAGAATATGACTTAGTCCGACTTATATGTACTTTCTAAGATTATTTACACACCACTGACGGAAAAAACGGTGAAGGAAAATATCGTGAGGAAACCTAAGCTAATAATTAAAAAATAAAATAAATAGGGTAGTAGACAGTGTATGGAAATTAAAAATGTAATTAGTGCGTCAGTTAAGTAGGTAATGAAAAAGTAGGTACCTATTACACAATTTTTTATTTATTTTGTCGTTTAAGAAAACAATACTAAGTTAAGTTTAGGAGTGGGATGTCTTTACGTCACGCTACCCTGTAAAATGTAGTAAATGGTGACGTCATATGATATTTCAAATCAATATTTATCGTCGAAAGTATTTATTTTATTTTGACATTAAAATAACATTTAGGGTACTACTCTATTACCTATAAGTTTGAAATTGCCAATCCGCATTGGGCAAGCGTGGCGATTAATATTACATAATGCTCAAACCTTCCCCGGGTGAAAAGAGGCCTTTTGTCAGCAGTGGCTACTTATAGGCTGATGATGACGAATTTAGTGTAATATTTATGACGTATAAAATAGTCGTCCGTAGGTACATTTATTTATTATTTATGTACACACATACAACTTAAAGGACGACACACAACGCACTAATCTCCGTAACTACAAGTCTGATATGAATAATTCTTTTTGTGTTGGATAGCGCATTTATCGAGGATGGCTATATGCTATAAAACATCACGCTACGACCAACAGGAGCTGAGCAGAGTGTGTGAAACCGCGCGGAAATAGCTAGCTTACCTATATAAAATTAAAGTACAAAGGCACCACTTGTTCCTATTGGAATTTCGTCCTGTGGACCTGGGGCAGGAAAAGTAATAATGACTTAAGGCACAGTGTGAAATAACAAATAGAAAACAGATAAAACTAAATAGATAAAAAAGTAGTAACCTAATTACTTTAAAGTAAAAATTGTGGTTTTACTTGCATAACTTTAAGTCACAAAATACATAGATTAGAGGAAAGTTTTGTTATTTATTTTATTTTATTATTTTCAGCCATGATCGTCCCACTGCAGGGCAAAGGCCTCCCTACCCTCCTTCCACTCCTCTCTATGTAAATCTTTTTGCGGCCAATCCTTGTTATAAATGTCTAATTCGTCCCACCATCTCCTTTTGGGCCTGCCGCGACGTCTACTGACGTTGAGTGGGCTCCACTCAGTATTGTCAGTGTTGTGTCAAAGTTGTGTTATAAATCCAAAACTCTTACTTATAATGGTGTGATAAAAAGTTAACCTGTTTTCAGCTCGTGCGTGGTACTACCAAACCTGCACTGAATATGGATTTTTCCAAACTGCGCCTAGATCCGGCACTGTGTTCGATGATTTGAAGTGGCTTGACGTGGACTTCTATACCGACATTTGCCTTAAAAACTTTGACAGCAGGTAAGACACAATACTAATAACATAACATAACATCACGCCTTTTATCCCCGAAGGGGTAGGCTGATTTTTTTTTAGAAATAAGCGCCTCTTTCACTTATTGTAATTTAATTGTTAATACCTTATTTTTCCCAGATTTAACAAAGATTTCATCCTTGCTGCGGCTGACCGCGTGAATTTAGTTTTCGGTGGCCTCGGGCCCGAAGTGAACAATACTATCAACATCCACGGGTACATCGACCCTTGGCGGGCGCTCGGTGTTTATAAAGAAGACATTTCAGAGACCTCTCCTACTTTTACTGTAAACAGGTAATTGAAATAAATATATACTTACTAGCGGACCCGACAGACGTTGTCCTGCTAATAATAATAGGTATAGATAAATAACCTAGATACCAACTACAGCGCCATCTGCCGGGCTGATTTGTGAATCTAAACCATTCCCAGATCCCCTTGAACACACACCAAAAATTTCATGAAAATCGGTCCAGTCGTTTGAGAGAAGTTCAGTGACATACACACTCACAGAAGAATTATATATCTATATATATATATATAAAGAGATTTACGAGGGACATTCTTTGGCGTGTGTCGTGGTGGCCCGGAGGTTTAAGACGCCCAGCTCTCATGCATGAGGGTGCGGTGTTCGAAACCTACCAGCGGCAAGTATGTACCAATGTGACTTTTAGTACTTTCTAAGATTATCTAATCACCACTGACAAACGGTGAAGAAAAACATCGTGAGGAAACCTGTTCTTATAATTTCTAATTATAAGTTTGTAATCGCCAACCCGCATTGAGCAAGCGTGGTGATTAATGCTCAATCCTTCTCCGTATGAGAAGAGGCTGAGCAAACTCAACAGCGGGTATTTATAGGCTGTTGATGATGAATTCTTCGGCGTGAATTCAATGGAAATTGGCATTACAGAAAAGCTAGCGTGAAATAACGCTTGCGTTTAATTTTCACAGTGCGTAAGGTTACAGAGTCGCAAGTACACATAATTATCGCATTCGAATCGTAATAGTATCAAGCGCGTGAGACGCTCTGAGGGCCAAGCACGAATAACTTTAACTATCGCATTCGTATCGTAACAGTATCGAGCGAGTTAAGCGTTCTGATTGGTTGGTTCGCTTGAGCCGGCCAATCAGAGAGCCGAACGCCCTCGATACTATTACGTTACGGATGCGATAGTTATTCGTGCTTGGCACTCTGGAGACTTACTTTTGAATCCAATTCCGATCGATTGATTTTGGTATTGTGAAATTTCGTACTCTTGAATTGCAACACTAGCGCCCATTACATCCATATTCCGTGGATATTGATTGAACTCCACGCGCCTCAAAGCCTCGAACACAGGCGTAAGGTTGCAAGCCTTTCGGTTGTCTACCGGATACATTTCGGGGAGTGTGCGGGGGAATTGCACAACTTGATTCCCCCTAGTCCTTTCCATCATCGTACCACAAGACAATCCGCGAAGCGTCACCGATTCATGGTAGATGTTCCGCCCACACGCACGAAGCGCTTCGCTTCAAGCTTCCTTGTGCGTACTGCTAAAGAGTGGAATTCTTTGCCAGAGTCTGTATTTCCTGAAGGGTATAACCTGGGAGTCTTCAAGGCCCGAGTGAATAGGTGGCTTATGGGACGACGTGCTCCATCGTAGACCGCATCATCGCTTACCATCAGGTGAGATAGTGGTCAAACGTCGCCCCATCAAATATAAAAAAAAAACTAAATGGTATTGAGTTTGGCTTTATATTCCGTACTCTGAATGTAATTTTAACAGCTATGATAGGGGACGGGGTTGTAAAGTTTTGACATTGAATAATTATTGAGATTTTTTTATTGAATTGAAATTGCATTGGTATTGCGATTGGTTTCAAGAGTAAGCACCCTGATTGGCCGACTCCAGTGAATCAACCAATTGTTATTCGTGCTTGACACTCAGGTGGCATAAATTTATTTTACGCCCGGCAACTATTATACATATATAATGCATGTGACTATGGTTGGCACAGCACTGATTGGTTACCATCAGGCAGATGACCCGTCTGCGGCATCTGCTCGTTTAAACCCCTATCGGCTGTCTTTTTAGAGATTTGTTAATCTTTACTAATATTATAAATCGGAAAGTGAGTTTGTTTGTTTGTTCCACTTTCACGCCGTAACTACTATACCTATTGCTTTGAATTTTTGCAGACGTAAAGTTAGAAGTCCGGATTAAATAATAGGATACTTTTAAACCCGGAAAAATTTGATATTCCCGAGGAAAAATTAAAGTATTGGTTTAGATGCCGCTGTGTGTATTAGTATATATGTATGTCACAGGCTACTTTTTATCCTTTTGTGACGCGAGCGAAGCCGCGGGTTAAAGCTAGTAATCTCTAAATCTTAACTTTAAAAAATTTATAACGAATAATTTTAATAGAGTTCGATAGATTTTTTATTAATTAGGCACTGTCAAATTTCAAATGGATTGTCCTACATCTAGTTCTGAACAGAAACGAAAAACATTTTTTATACATGTAAAGATTTTTACTGATAAGATAACACCTTTATCATCAATGTCAATATGTAGGTACCTAGTGTACCTACCTACTCAAAGTAGAGATATTTGTTTTGGAATTTAATATTATTTTTTACGTGACTCGCGTCTATTTAAATTCAATTGACTTATTATTAGAAAAGACTATTTTATTTTTGTTTTGAAAATGTTTCTCGCCAAATTCTTTTTTGCTTTGCGGAATTCGTCTGAAAATCTAAACATATTTTCTCCTCGTGACCCGTGACTTTACTATGTGTGTAAAAATTAAGTATGGAACTAAGAAATTATGGAAGTTACAATACCCCAAAATATTTTCTCATTTACATTAGTTTAATCATTAAACTACATTATAGCACCCACTCGAGTGTGTACCTACCACATATATTTTAGCTAACCTCATAAAACAACTAAACGAAGCTTACCATCACTAAAATCCTAAGGAACTTTTATCCTGAATGTCAAATTCAATACTTTTTTTTGAACTGTCAAAAACGGCAGTTTCCTATGTATTTTGTACGGTACGAGATTGTGTATTGTGACGTCACGTTTTTATAGCGTCAAACAGCTATTTCTTAAAAATTTGCTGATAATATAGTAAAATTAAGTTGGTCATAAAATCAATTAAGTAATGAAAGTGAGATAATTTTTTAATATTTTATTGTATTGAACAGTCGAAATAATTTATTTTTGATTAAGGCAAATATCGTGCTGCTGCGCCGCCCCGGTCGCCGCTCTCCGCGGCTTGGCCCCAGAGGGCTCAGTACACAGAAATATTATATCTGTGGCTCAGTATCGAAGCGAGACCGTGTTCGGCGTTCTGATTGGCCTGCTCCAATGAACCAACCAATCAGAGATCCCGAACGCAGTCTCGTTTCGATTACTTCTAATGTAAAACAAATTCGTATTAAAGCCTCAGTACATTTCTATGTGGACGTGGTATACGCGGATTTTCGTTAGAGCGAATGTTTCGTGGCAAGGCTATTAGGTACAACGTACAACCTTTTTATATTTCCAACCACTTTCCAACCATGCCGGTGCCATGTCAGATCCGTGCTTGTTACTGTGTACCTTGTGTATTTATACGGCTCTGATTTTGTCATATAACTACTTAGCCATAAGGGCCATAAGGAAAATAGACTTGTTAACCTGTATCTACTTCCTGTTTTATATTGATTTCCTGCTAGATTATTACTTCTGTGAAATATTAAAATATGTCATCGATTGTTATCACTGTCTGCTTCAATATCACAATATCACATGTTGACTGAAGTCCATGGTCCAAAGTCCATTGCGCCGCCTACTTATTTATAGTAATTTAGTCATTATTTAAATTAATTTACGTGATTTAAATTAATATTCTTAATTACCAGATTGTCTGTTCCGTAATGAATGTCTCACTGCTAGCTAGTGATGTATAATTAATTACTTAGATTATCTTGAGTTTACTTACATCACGTATACGGTAGGTTGTCAAAGATGCTCGACTAATTTCAAGCCCTGATTAGGGCTCATAATCTGCAACATATATTCTAATTTAATGTCTCATGATAATTTTGTAAGGGAAAATGATGAGGATACTTATCTACTAATGTTTTTGTTATCAGGGCATCCCATTGTTTCGACATGCAAGCCTGGCTGCGTACTGACACCATACAAATGACAGCTGTTCAGCAAAGAGCAAGAAGAATCGTGGCGTCGTGGTTATCCCAATAAAATATAGATAGTAATTGTAATTTTCATAATGATTAACTATTGAAATAAATTAAAGTTTTTTTGAAATTCTTTATAAGAAGGAACTCTGTTATTTATCAGATGTATATAGTTAACTATATACATCTGATAAATAACAGATCCAGATTCATATTTTATATATTAGTGTTACTTTGTGCCTAATAAATTAATACACAAACTGTGCAACTGTTTTCTTTTTTTTTCTTTTTTTTAGAGTAAATGCTTTATTTCCATCCATTTCCCTACGGAAAAATAACCATAGTCTGCTTAAATGAATGAAGGGACGCTGAAAAATTCGAGAGCTTAGCTAGGTAATATATTTATTTATGAGTAAAATTTGAGGCCAGACTGCCTCGTTGGCCGAGTGGTCGCAATTGCGACTGCCGGGCAGGGGTCTCGGGTTCGATACCCGGGTCGGGCAAAGTATTACTGGGTTTTTAAAAAAAAATCTCATTAGTAGCACTAAGCTTGGAATTCCATGCGCCCCTATTACATGGGGCTCAATGCTCATAAACAGTGAAAAGTGGGTGTTACATTGTGCATTGGCATAATGTGCACCTCTGCCTACCCCTTCAAGGATAAAAGGCGTGATGTTATGATGTTATGTTTAAGGTCAACCGATCTACGACGTAGTTTGAACTAACCTAGACAGATAAAAAATAAACCAAATTGTGTGCTCGTCGGTCTCGTCCCCACTCCTACGTCCAATAATTATTTTTGTAAGTACTTAGGCATTATCGCAAACAGGCAGATTGATAATATGCCTGTAGATATATTTTTGGACACTTGTGTGAGTTTATCAATCGATGAATCGTTTGGTACTCACAGATATCTCCACTGGGCGCTCCGACTAAACACAATACGGAAAACCACATAGAAAGCAGATGTGTTTCAAATTTATTTGCGAAAAAAACTATAAACAATCAAAATGGTAAGAATCTATGCACTAATAATATATTATTACTAAAACAAAACAGGATTCACCATCATTAATTTCAATTGTTTGTCTATAAACTACGAGTTATTAGTTACTAAAATAAAGCATTTGATTGTATATTTTATATTATTTTGTTTATTCATTCATTCTCTATATTTTTGAGTGTAAACTTTTAACTCAAGTTGTTAAATAGAAGTGAAGTGTTTGAAAAAAGTGTATTGATGAAAATATCAGTCGTGTTGTTGGTGAGGCACATAGAGGGTTATTTAACCTTTTGAGCGCCAGAGTCACAAAAATACGTGACAAGCGAAAACTGTCCCCTGAGCGCCAACGACACAAATATGTGACAAAACACAGCGTACATTAAAACACGAAATAAACTATTTAAACATTACTTTAATGCCTATTTATTTATATACCTGTAAAATAGAAGGTCCAAAATTTATTTATTTCCATAAAACTAATTAAATTGCATTATAAATATTGAGAAATTTTACGTTAAAAAGAAAGAAAAAACTCTGAAAAAAGAATGTCCTCACACGCCAGTGTCATAACTGCGTGACCGCTAGATGTAGCGCATGTTGGATAATATCATTATTTCAAATCAAAGATCGATTCGAAACTTTCCTCTGGAATATATTATTGTAGGTATAATTTGGTACTAGGATAAAGCAGCATTAATTTATAAAACCAGTCTTAAAAATCATTCAATAAGCTATATAGTCAAAAATAAAATTTGGTTGGGTCGAATTTCGATATTCACTAATCCCAACTCAAGCGCATCCCTAACGCAACCCGAATTATCAGTACCCTGTACGCCATGGTCACGACTAGACGACAATATCGTGACGTCACAAGCGCGGCGACCAGAAATTAGTGAAGTGAATGATAATAATATGATTAATTTACTTGTGATATCGAGTTCAAGATTTATATTAAGTGACTAATAATGAGTGGGAATTTAATGACTACGGAAGAACTTCTTCGCATATTAGAAGGAGTCTCAGATGACGAAGAATTTTCGGAAACAGAATCTTTGGACGAATTTGATTTAGAGATTTGCATTGTAGATTTTGTATAATTTTGTTCTATTATTCAAAAGATTTATTAGTATAAGACTGATTGGTAATTGTGATAATTATATAATCGTTAATTGTTTTAATTTGTTACTTTTTATGCCAGGTTTATAGACCTAATATTTAAAAACATGTATACATAGTACATACTGTATAACATTTTATTAAAATTTTCTATTTTTTCATAGTTTTTATTTACCTTCTTAACCTATTTCAATCATATATTTTTAAGTACCTGTTACATTCGGAATTATAAATCTGATTTAAAAAACGTGTTTCATTTATTATAAAATAATATTGTACTAGAACATCGATAAACGAGATATTACGTTGCCACATCCTTATTTCGGAAGCGAAGTAGTTATTAAAATGGCGGGCCGTCCACGCCATGGTCACAATATGAAGACAGCAGATCAAGAATAGTGTTGTACCTACAGTTATTATATTTAAATATATTGTAGTCTCATATCTGTTATTACGGTATTATACAAGTCTGTAAATAGTGTATAACTATTACTTTAATAGGAAGAAATGTAATGTTGAATTAAATTTCAATGTTATAAGGACATTATATTTCGAAATTAAAGACGAAAATGAAAATAAAATTGATTATCGATGAAGTTTTGGAATCCCTATTTTTTTCGTAGGTATTTGCGGTGAATTTGTGGCCTGGCGTTGAGGGCAAGTTCATGCGTTTTTGCTCTGGCGTTCAAAAGGTTAATGAATGCACCGATATGAGATACAATAGAAAATATTATTACACTGGTACATTGCCTATTTATAAAGGTTTAAATCACCTGCTACTTTCATCTCTGCACTGCTTAACTCGTCGAGTACCGGTTTTATAGACACAATTAAAGAACAATAGGTCGCGGTCACCGGTGACCGCTTGGTGTTTGACAGTTTAAAGGTTGACTGGGAGACAATGTCCAAGGCATTAAGTTCACCTGTACACACTTGTTGTATGAAGTTGAAATAAATAAATAAATAAAAAATAATACATTGTGTCTCGCGTGGACCACGTCTTAGACACACGAAAGGTTAACAGTTCTCTTTTTGATTTACTCTGTGTTTTGAAAACATCATGGATGGTTCTTGACGTTGCGTTATGAAGACACTAGCATTGCAGAACAGTTCCTTGGCTTCAAGAGGAGATGGCTATTGTTATAATATAATAGGTACGTGCGGGTGTATCGTGAAGAGCTTTGTGATATCAAGATATCAGTACTGCGTATAAGGCTTAGGGTACCACCAGACAGATTTAGGTCCCTTTTCACCAACGAAACTGATCACGATTACACCTAACAAAACTGATTTAAAGCGTCTAATCGAATTTAAAGCGTTTAAACGAAGTTACAGCTTCATTTTACATTTCACCGCTACAAACAGAAACTAGTTTACACGGAACTCAGTACAGAAAACACAGAACACAGACCTTAGGTTACTTTAAACTTAGGTTACGTGTAACTGAGTTTTTACAGAGCTTGGTGAAAAGGGACCTAAGAGTTATGACTAGACCGGTATTATCCCTTATAGGCAAACTAGGCAAGTGCCTAGGGCAACAGGGTACACAGGGTCTCTAGTTTTAACCTGCCTCTGGCTATGGCTGTTTATGAAGACCGTCAATGTTTAAGTTTTCAACTTTCAGATACTTTTCTTGCTACTCCTAAGTCTGATCTCGACATCATGCGCAAAAAAGGAACCCAGGGTTGTGGATATGTTTGCTGGCATAAAACCTTCCGTCAGGAACGATAGCTTGCCTGCGAGAAATGTCCAAACCAGCTTTTTGATGATGCCTGTTGATCATTTCGATCCTCATAATTCAGCTACTTTTCGTCAGGTAATGTACAACTATCTATCTACTACTACAACTATAGATAATCATGTATAACAATATAAGGACCTACATAGGTGGACTATTGATTCATAACAGATCCAGTATTAGAATAATGGTAAGAGCATGGGCCAAGTTTTAGGAGGTATTCAAATCACTAGTATTAATTTTCCATGACAAGGACACTTCGCATTGGCGAAAACTAACAATGTTCTTTTAGGTACCTAGCACTTACATAGGCTTACGTCCTTAACCAGGGTAGGTAGAAACTACAGAGCCACCTAATACGATCCTTGCATGTTTCTTTGGTTTCCACAAGCATTTGGTCAATCTGGTGCTTGATCATGAGTTCATGACATACAAGCATGCCCTTTATGAGTGTTCCGTTTCAGACTTTTCTAGGATGTCTCCAATGATATATGCGTATGATATATGATTGTCTTATGGCGGCCCCTATCGGCGGGGCCTGCGATAATGTTACGTGTGGTGTGACCGTTAATCACTGTACCATTTTTAACATTATAGAAATTCATGTACAATGAAGAATTTTTTGGTGGCGACGGTTCTCCTATATTTATCATGATCGGTGGCGATTGGCCCATTTATCATAACTGGTTGACCAACGGCAACATGTATGAAATGGCACGAGAGAACAAAGGATATCAAGTATATATCGAACATCGGTATTATGGAGAATCTCAAGTTTTCCCGTAAGTTGAAACCCATGACTAAAATTAGGTATGAAAAAATGAAAACTTAATGAGCGAGAATCAAAACATAAGTGGTGTATAGTTACCCATTCCCTATACATGTTCTAAATTTGCCTGAATATGCCTTAGTAATTTATATCTTTACACAGAACGTCGACCACAGAAAATCTTCGTTTCCTGAACGCTAATCAAGCACTTGCTGACCTCGCGTATTTCATCACAGAGATGAAGAGGCAGCCACGATTTGTAAGGAGTAAAGTGATACTGTACGGAGGAGCGTATGCTGGTAAACTAGCGATGTGGTTCAAGCAGCGTTATCCTCATTTGGCGGTCGGCTCCGTCGCGTCCAGTGCAGCTATCTTAGCTAAAGTTGAGATCAGTGGTTTGTAAAATACTTTTCTACTTACCTACTTGCAAACTTATAAAACAGTTGTTGGTTGTTGTCGGTTGGTGCAGTGGCTGGGCAGTGTCGAGGGTCCGATTCCCGCATAGGACAATGTCTTTATGTGGTCCACAAATTGTTGTTCCAGGTCTGGATGTAATGTGTACTTATAAACGCATCGATCATGGGAAAATCCTATTGTGGGATAATCTTTTTATATAACATCACGCCTTTTATCCCTGAAGGGGTAGGCAGAGGTACACATCACGGCACTTAATGCCACTGGACACCCATTTTTCACTATTTATGTTATGAGTCCCATGTAATAGGGGGTGAGCCTATTGCCATATACCGGGCGCATTTCCAGACTCCGTGCTACCTACTCCTGAGGTCTTTTAAAAAACCCAGTAATACTTTGCCCGACCCGGGAATCGAACCCGAGACCCCTTGTCCCGCAGTCGGACTTGCGACCACTCGGCCAACGAGACAGACAATGTTTTAATGTTTAAAATAGTGTAGGTAGATACCTACAACTTAATAATTTAAGTAAAAACAATAAAATATGGATTATAGAGCTACTGGAAGTGGTCCATGAAGCTTTCTTGCTAGAGGGAGGGGAGCAGTGCATAGCACACATTAGACAAGGAATACACGAGACAGTCACGGCACTGCAAACCGAAACTGGAAAACGCACGATTGAGGAAGTGTTTAGGTTAGTAAAATCTATATTGTATTTGTTTTTACCAAGGCTATCCTAAACGACATAGAACATATTAAAATATTTTAACATTTTGATGCAAGTAACATTGTTACTTCTATTTACTGTCATGTACCAACCAAATTCTTATAATGTGTGATTCAATTTACTGGGGATTATTGTAATTACTTTTATTTTATTTTATATGGTTAACTTAATATTTCTACACCAGCAATGGTAGTGTATGTAAACAATATTTAATGTAAAACCTCAATGGGTACATTGAGGTTGTGGGAGTATATGGTAATATGGTGCGGTGAATCCGCAAGGGCGTCCCGGGTCACGGCCACAGGCAGAGGAGGAACACCGCGGTGGTTTTAGCCGGTAAGAGTCCGGCACACCCCCGTCGTCCCCACGGCGTGGGAAGTCCATGAGGATTTCCACCGCGTTATATAAAAAAAAAGTAGGTAGTATACTTGGAAATAAATGACATTCTATTCTATTCTATAACAAACTTGTAACTTATGAAAGGTAAATACGGCCCAGTCACTTTTTTGGTTGATTTAGCGGCGGTGGATTTGTTATCTAGCTACCTATAGCCATAGTGCGTACTACCGTGTACTCCCAGATTATCTACCTATCTAATATTAGTGGATTCTAGAGGTAAAGTACCTAGGTCTAAGAACATATTAAATTAAATATTAGCTATATTACTTTAATTAATTATTATAAGAATCCATGGACGTCATGGATTAATTAGGTAGATACCTTAATATTATTAGTCCATGGTGCAAAATAAACCATTCAATACGTAGCTATTTAAGTACAGTAGCTATGTAGGTACTTATGTATATACGTACCTATTAACAGCTATAGGTAGGCCTACCTAAGACTATCTACCTACCTTACTTAAAATTTTTTTTTTCAGTTTATGTGACCGAATAGAAAATAACTTGGATTTGGGCCAGTTTTCGGGACTTATTGCGTGGACTTTCATGCGTCTAGTGATGAATTCTAGACCAGGACAACTGAAAGACATTTGTAATAATTTCGACAATAATGTTTATGGTAGGTAATTAGGTATGTATTATTGTATAAGATTGGTGTATCCTAGTACCAAATTATACCTACAATAATATATTCCAGAGGAAAGTTTCGAATCGATCTTTGATTTGAAATAATGATATTATCCAACATGCGCTACATCACTAGCGGTCACGCAGTTATGACACTGGCGTGTGAGGACATTCTTTTTTCAGAGTTTATTTCTTTCTTTTTAACGTAAAATTTCTCAATATTTATAATGCAATTTAATTAGTTTTATGGAAATAAATAAATTTTGGACCTTCTATTTTACAGGTATATAAATAAATAGGCATTAAAGTAATGTTTAAATAGTTTATTTCGTGTTTTAATGTACCGCTGTTTTTGTCACATATTTGTGTCGTTGGCGCTCAGGGACAGTTTTCGCTTGTCACGTATTTGTGACTCTGGCGCTCAAAAGGTTAAATAACTCCACTTATGTGCCTCACCAACAACACGACTGATATTTTCATCAATACACTTTTTTCAAACACTTCACTTCTATTTAACAACTTGAGTTAAAAGTTTACACTCAAAAATATAGAGAATGAATGAATAAACAAAATAATATAAAATATACAATCAAATGCTTTATTTTAGTAACTAATAACTCGTAGTTTATAGACAAACAATTGAAATTAATGATGGTGAATCCTGTTTTGTTTTAGTAACTAATAATATTATTAGTGCATAGATTCTTACCATTTTGATTGTTTATAGTTTTTTTCGCAAATAAATTTGAAACACATCTGCTTTCTATGTGGTTTTCCGTATTGTGTTTAGTCGGAGCGCCCAGTGGAGATATCTGTGAGTACCAAACGATTCATCGATTGATAAACTCACACAAGTGTCCAAAAATATATCTACAGGCATATTATCAATCTGCCTGTTTGCGATAATGCCTAAGTACTTACAAAAATAATTATTGGACGTAGGAGTGGGGACGAGACCGACGAGCACACAATTTGGTTTATTTTTTATCTGTCTAGGTTAGTTCAAACTACGTCGTAGATCGGTTGACCTTAAACATAACATCATAACATCACGCCTTTTATCCTTGAAGGGGTAGGCAGAGGTGCACATTATGCCAATGCACAATGTAACACCCACTTTTCACTATTATGTTATGAGTCCCATGTAATAGGGGGTGAGCCTATTGCCATATTCCGGGTACAATTCCAGACTCCGTGCTAGTACTGAGATTTTTTTTTAAAAACCCCAGAAATACTTTGCCCGACCCGGGAATCGAACCCGAGACCCCTTGTCCCGCAGTCGGACTTGCGACCACTCGGCCAACGAGACAGACAATGTTTTAATGTTTAAAATAGTGTAGGTAGATACCTACAACTTAATAATTTAAGTAAAAACAATAAAATATGGATTATAGAGCTACTGGAAGTGGTCCATGAAGCTTTCTTGCTAGAGGGAGGGGAGCAGTGCATAGCACACATTAGACAAGGAATACACGAGACAGTCACGGCACTGCAAACCGAAACTGGAAAACGCACGATTGAGGAAGTGTTTAGGTTAGTAAAATCTATATTGTATTTGTTTTTACCAAGGCTATCCTAAACGACATAGAACATATTAAAATATTTTAACATTTTGATGCAAGTAACATTGTTACTTCTATTTACTGTCATGTACCAACCAAATTCTTATAATGTGTGATTCAATTTACTGGGGATTATTGTAATTACTTTTATTTTATTTTATATGGTTAACTTAATATTTCTACACCAGCAATGGTAGTGTATGTAAACAATATTTAATGTAAAACCTCAATGGGTACATTGAGGTTGTGGGAGTATATGGTAATATGGTGCGGTGAATCCGCAAGGGCGTCCCGGGTCACGGCCACAGGCAGAGGAGGAACACCGCGGTGGTTTTAGCCGGTAAGAGTCCGGCACACCCCCGTCGTCCCCACGGCGTGGGAAGTCCATGAGGATTTCCACCGCGTTATATAAAAAAAAAGTAGGTAGTATACTTGGAAATAAATGACATTCTATTCTATTCTATAACAAACTTGTAACTTATATGAAAGGTAAATACGGCCCAGTCACTTTTTTGGTTGATTTAGCGGCGGTGGATTTGTTATCTAGCTACCTATAGCCATAGTGCGTACTACCGTGTACTCCCAGATTATCTACCTATCTAATATTAGTGGATTCTAGAGGTAAAGTACCTAGGTCTAAGAACATATTAAATTAAATATTAGCTATATTACTTTAATTAATTATTATAAGAATCCATGGACGTCATGGATTAATTAGGTAGATACCTTAATATTATTAGTCCATGGTGCAAAATAAACCATTCAATACGTAGCTATTTAAGTACAGTAGCTATGTAGGTACTTATGTATATACGTACCTATTAACAGCTATAGGTAGGCCTACCTAAGACTATCTACCTACCTTACTTAAAATTTTTTTTTTCAGTTTATGTGACCGAATAGAAAATAACTTGGATTTGGGCCAGTTTTCGGGACTTATTGCGTGGACTTTCATGCGTCTAGTGATGAATTCTAGACCAGGACAACTGAAAGACATTTGTAATAATTTCGACAATAATGTTTATGGTAGGTAATTAGGTATGTATTATTGTATAAGATTGGTGTAGGTACCTATGTTATAACTGTTATAGGTAAGTAGACCCCCACAGCTCTGTAGGTACATACCTTATTAATCTATTCTAGATCTTATACTATTATATATATAAAGTGGAAGAGTTTGTTTTTTGTTTGTTTGTTTGAACGCGCTAATCTCCGTAACTACAAGTCTGATTTGAATAATTCTTTTTGTGTTGGATAGAGCATTTATCGAGGATATTCTAACTATTATAAATCGGAAAGTGAGTTTGTTTGTTTGTTCCACTTTCGCGCCGTAAATACTAAACCGATTGCTTTGAATTTTTGCAGACGTGAAGTTAGAAGTCTGGATTAAATAATAAATAAAGAGAACCCACTTTTTATCCCGGAAAAATTTGATATTCTCGAGGGAAAACCAAATTATTGATATAGATGGCGCTGTGTGTATTGGTATATGTCACATAGGCTACTTTTTATCCTTTTGTGACGCGAGCGAAGCCGCGGGTAAAAGCTAGTAGGGTATAAAACATCACGCTACGACTAATAGGAGCAGAGCAGAGCTCGTGGAACCAAGTAGCTAGTTGGCTCAGCAGAGCATCGTTATCCTATAGTATAGGATTTAGTATAGGACCTATACTAAATCTGTCGTTTAAGTACAGCTACTATCTGGTACATATAGGTACCTACACATGTGTTAGGTAGTAGTTTATCATTAACGCACTGCCGTAACGATGATAACATTAAACGTTAGAGATATTGCAGGAGCAACTCCAATGCAGCAAATTGCTGGACTGATATCAGCAGGAACAAATACGGAGAACACGTGTTGGGATACTACGTTCGAAACTTCTATTAATGTTCTATGCAGCAAGGATATGAATATGGGTGCGTACCTCAACTATTTCTTTTTAACCTACTTCAAAGAGAAAAAAGGAGATTCTCAGTGTCACCTGTCTGTATGTAGGTATGTACGCGATTAGCTGAACCGATTTTGTGGTTTTTAGAAGAGTTTGTTACATGAAGTTTTAGTAATTTAGGGCCGATTTATCAATCATAAGTTAATTCTTAACTGTAAAATAAAATTGACATTTGACAGTTAGTATGGAAGAATTGTCAAATATTCAAAGTTATTCCTCTGATAAAATTTAACTGAGCATTGAAAAATCGGCCGGAAATATGTATTACCGTATAAAAAATTAAATAATACTGTAGGTAATGTAGATAAATTCTTTAGTAAGTATCTACTGAGGAAGTAGTATTTTGAGAGGAAGCTCTTTTTTGCTATGTTTGTCCGCACTGCGGGGCAAAGCCCTCCCTACCCTCCTTCCACTACTTACATGCAAATCTGGAGAAAGCTTTGGATGAACCTAAAAATAAATAATCTGTTTCCAGGTTCAACTCGTTCACTTTACTACCAAAATTGCGCTGAATATGGTTATTTTCAAACTGCACCCAAATCCGGCACTGTGTTTGATGACCTGACGTGGCTCAACCCAGACTTCTACAACGAGATTTGCCTAAGATGTTTTGATAAAAAGTAACATAAAATTTAATTATTTATACAATGTTTTAGGTAAACATACATACCTACCTGAGTAAGCAATTCAAAAGAACAAATAATACCTACCTAACTTTTGTTTAAATTATTGCAGCACATTCGGTAAATTAATGATCTTAAACAATTAAATTACAGTGGTACTGCTAACATAACATAATGTTCAGGTTTATGAATATAATGATGGATATCAGTGAATTATTAAAATATTTAATCCACAGATCGATCTCATTTTTCACACAATTAGTGTCTGTGCAAAAACAAATAAAAGGTTGAAAATCCCGGGCTTGCTAGTAACGAGAACTGGTTGACCATTCGACAGACGAAATTTATTTGTTTAAAATAAACTAATATTTTCAGATTTGATCGAGATTTTGTTAATACTGCTGTTGATCGAGTAAACTTAGCATTCGGTGGTCTTAAACCCGAAGTGAAGAATGTCATCAACATCCACGGATACTACGATCCTTGGAGGGTGCTCGGAGTATATAAAGAAGATATTTCAGAAACCTCTCCTACTTTTACTGTAGACAGGTAAGAAGCCATCCTTTTTTTCAAAGTAGGTTAAAAATATCTATGCTTTCATGTTGGCTTAACTAGAATCGCCTACCCCTTACATGTCTAACGTAACTAGAAAATGGATGTTTACTTTTCCTTAAAGATGAACTACAAATTAATTTAAAATGCCATCAACCGCTCCATTCAACATTTTAATAATATATGTATATCTTTTACTTCTACAAAATCAATGTTTGTTTGATACCAGGGCATCTCATTGCTTCGACTTGATCGAATGGCCACCTAGCGACGACAACGCTGAGATGATAGCTGTTCAGCAAGAAGCAAGGAGAATAGTGGCGTCCTGGCTATCCAGTTAAAACGTCGTATCATTTTAGAGATGCTTACAATACGTTTCCTACCATCACAAATTAAACCATTATGTACCACAAAGGTACATTTAAACTCGATAGGTTTATGGAAACTGTGCGAAAAATATATATAATATATATTTTTTTTATAAAAATCTTACATTTACCAATTAAATAAGTTGGTAAATCCTAAGAAATAAAATATTACTATTTTACTTATTACAAAGTTATTTATACTGACATTTGAATTGGCTTTGAATGACAAAGAATAAATTTCAAGTGTCAAAGTTTCACTGAATAATCGATATCTAATTATTTATCTGAAATAACCCAACTTAATATTCAATATTTTCGTTATTTTTCGTGTTGTCAGAATGCAATTCATGTCATTAAAAACAATAAAACGATTTCTTTTTTATTTATTTAACCGATGTTTCAAGTGTAAAACGTGCCAATACAATATGTGCAGTACAGTTTTTACGCCGACCTAGACACTAAAATACTTCTCAATCTTTCAAGGTTAACATTTGATAAACATAAAAACCGTGCGAATACAGGCGCGGCACCATTATGTAAATCATAACATTTACCAAGCAACAAGCTAAATGTAGAGAATCTACCTGGTTTATGATTTGAATACAACATAATTAGGTTGCACTAAAGCTACTTTATTCTAAGGGTCTATTTAGAATGGGATTCCCAAATAAAAGTGTATTTTTCTCCCGCTAGTTATTCGGGAAGACATAATTTTATTAAGTTTAAATTCCACAATCTGACAAATTGATAATCCACAGAAGTTAATCAGAAACTTTTAACAGGTCGAAGATGAAACAGATCAAAAAATATATATAATCGGAAATACTCACTAACCGTCCTAAGCAATAGTTTAAAACTATGTTAATCCCTAATGTCAAATGTACGGTTAGCATTTCGCCTAATTAAAACTACCGGCGGAATTACATTAAGGAGTAAATGCACAGTGCACTACTACCCTGGTCTAGTCGGTGTGTTTTCAAAATGGCTCTTTTCCACGTCAATCCTTTTCGGAAACACAACACAAATTGTGCTGCGCGTGAGATAGTAACCAGCTCAACTTGTACATACATGTCACTTTAAGGTGTTATATCTACTAATATTGAATTTAAACAACATTAGGGGCAACTTCTCCTCGCAGCACTGATAAATTTGCAGTGAAGCGAAGGACAGCGGAACGAGGCATCAGATGCTCCGTGCTCGTTCAACCGGCACTCGCTCGACTGTGACGCGACCAGAGAAGTAGTCTACTCTACCAAAAATCATAGCACTTACATCGTAAAGCGTACAATGAAGAACATTCGAGAGTGTGGGCAGTCCAGATTTAAATTGTACATAAATATAAAATCATATTACATACTTCATTATCACTGGAAAGTTCATTTACTTAACTATAAAAACAATTAGGCAGTGTAAAAAGCAAACAATTTTGTTTAGGAAACTGAACATGTAATCTTAAATAAATAGGACTGCCATTAAAACCCCTGAACTAACTCAAATTCAGAAATGACGGCACCATGTTAAACCTATGTGTCTAATAATCTAGAGAATACTTAAAATATAGAAAGAACCTCGTAAATGCAACCGTCACGTGATTTTACAGCGTCGCCCACAGTTCCACTGGCGAGGTTCATCACATACATATTAATGTCTAAAGAGAGACATCAGCGACATTCCCTGCGCCCTCGCTACAATTACACACGTAGATTAAGTGTTTATAACATACTGGTGAAAATATTTACAATGGTCTAATCCTCAAGTTGCAAGTCATTCTACAACCAATGGTTTGGGATTCTCCCATGGAAAGCCTTCTCGTCCAAAGTGGCCATAAGTACTGGTTTTCTGATATATTGGTGCCCTGAGGTTCAATTCCCTGAAAAGAGATAATTTTATTTTAGTATTGTATCAAAACTGTTATTCATTCTATGATTTTATATAATTATGAACAATATAAGAAAGGAGTAAAAACTTACTTGACAATCTTGCCCGGTCGCAGGTCAAAGTTCTTTTGTACAATAGCAAGTAGTTGCTGTTGGGTCTTGTGCGAGGTGCCATAGTCGAACACCGTGATAGACAGCGGCTCAGCCACGCCGATGGCATAGGCAACCTGGAAATTAACAAATACTCTGTAAGCTTTTCGAAAATGCTAGTTTTATTGTTGATTTCTTCATAAAGTGGGGTCATTGGTCACGAGTGAAATAGACGTAGTTGCGTGAAAAGTAAAACGAGAATAGTCAATAGGTTGAAGATAAGTAGATTTGCATATACATAATGAGTCAAGAGTTAAAGAATAGATAGAAGAGTATAAAGTACAAGGCGGCGTTAATAGACAGTCGCGACAGATACGTCAGCGGAAACCCGTCGCCGCGTCGTCATTACGCACACAGCCATAGTGCCAACACTTGCGCATATCTGACGTACCGACATTACCTTACCTATCTATATCAACAAATTGACGCATCATTTATTTGGGTTTCCTCCTCAGACAAATGCTATTTGCGTTATTAACTAACATTAAAGACATCGTTATTTTAGACTGCTGCAATTTATATTAATGATATTTGAACTCTATTTCGAGAAGATACTGACAGTCATTGAACTCGATGTCACATTAGTAACACTAACCTTTTAGCAGTGGGTGCCTATATATTTAGGGAAGTAGGCTAAAGGCTAGGTTGGTTTTCAAGGAAATGACACAATATTACGAAGTTGGAGTAATTACCTGCACCATGCAACGGCGGCAGAGACCAGCTTTGACGAGCGACTTAGCAACCCAACGCGCAGCATAGGCAGCGGAGCGGTCCACCTTGGTAAAGTCTTTGCCTGAGAAGGCGCCGCCTCCGTGAGCGCCCCAGCCTCCGTACGTGTCCACGATGATCTTACGTCCCGTCAGACCCGCGTCCGACTAAACAACCAATCCAATACTTTAAAATATATTTATTTTATTTTTCATACACATACTAGTGTAGTAGTACTACTACTAATCGAAAATGTTGAGATATAATGTCTAAAAAGATGTAATCACTTTTTCGTGAGTTGGAATCGAAAAACGATTGGAATGTTTTAATAAAATGTAAAGTAAATATTCTCACCTGGGGTCCTCCAATGATGAACAAACCGCAAGGGTTGATGTGAATCACAGTCCTCTCATCAAGGTAGTGGGCAGGGATTACTTCCTTAATGACCTTCTCTCTGATCTCTTCACGCAGGGTCTCCAATGTAATCTATACAACCAAGATATACATTTAAAAAATACATGTCATCATCATAGGTCAAGGAATTAGTGACATATCTTTTTGTAGGTACCTATATGTATATCAGAAATGTTTACATTTATTACATAAAGCGTGACGCGACACTTGATAAATTCGTAACCTAAAAAGTTATCTCCGTGAAATGGACACATTAGTAATGCTATGGTTCAGTAGTGCGTAAGTTTTGTCAAGGAAATTACTCGTGTGCTAAGAAAATTATTCACACGTGATAAGACAAATGACGAAATATTACATAAAAATTCCATGGAATGCAAAAACACTTTTATAGAAATAATTGATTTGTCTTTAATGTCCCGTGTCTTGATTGTGTAGAATGTTTGCACCAGGTAGTTACAAACGGAAGCTATTTTATTGCGAACAGATTTCTACCTTTTCGGAGTGTTGCAGGGAGACGACAAGGGTGTGAACTCTCTGTGGCACGGTGGCGCCTCCAGCGAACACGTACTCGCATGTTACCTGAAACCAAATAATAGTTTATTAACATATACTGTCAGTAGACATACTGTTTAGTTGTACTGAGCAGCCTGTAGATGTTATTGAAATTCGACACGACAGACGTGTTCGAGATCATACGAGGGCCACACTAGTCGACCCCCTCTGCTGAGCATTGTTATTCTCGAAGGTTACAGAGCGGGTTAACTTAGCAATACAATAATGCACACAAAGGAACAACGAACGCGGATTTTTTCGTCATTTTGCATTATGATACTTTCATTATTAAATAAAACCCTGTTATGAAAAATTATTTAATATTTTACTATAATAACATATATTACTCGACAGTTAGTACCGGACATTCTTTCAATCATGAATTAGATCATGAAACTTGATTCATCAAAGGTTCAAAACTATTATTTAGTCCTGACCGAAGCAGTTTTATATTACACAATCCCCAAGCAATTTCGTAGACTCGACACTTTTACGTATGTATTGTCTTGACTCTTATATGCAGTACATACTCTCAACGTATCTAATTGACCGATCTCAAATGTCGCTTGACACTGGTGTCAGTTTTATCACTCAGTCATTAAACAACAATTGATATATTAGACATTGATTGCGTCATGCGATCTCTTAACAGGAACAGCATTGAAAATGATATTCTTTAGAATAACATCATGCCTTATAAATCCCCAAAGGGGTAGGCAGAGGTGTACATTATATACGGCACTTAATGCTACTGTAGTGTGTACAGTACAGGTACATTGTAATGTAACACCCACTTTTCACTATTTATGTTATGGGTCCCATGTATTTGGGGGTAAGCCTATTGCCATATACCAGGCACAGTTCCAACTCCGTACTACTACTGAGAATGGTAAACCCAGTAATACTTTGCCCGCCCGAATCCGAGACCCCTTGCCCAGCAGTCGCACTTGCGACCACTCGGCCAACGAGCCAGTCTCATATTCTTTACTTCTTTGATTTTATTTACACTTACACCTCAGCTTCGGATGGTTCAGAGCTTTTCAAAAAAGTCAAAGTATAAGCCAACAAATCTATAAATGTAATCACAAATATATCTACACTTTAAGAGAATATGTTATAAATGTATAGACTTAATAAGAATTCATGCTTAATTTTCGCACATAACATGCAATATCTCCACTTGGCAACCAATTTGTAAAATAAGTATGCATTGTCGAGTTATTGAAACATTACAGTCCACTCGTTAAAGGGTTAATTGGTCTGCCGAGGACCTCTCGACACCAATGTGCATCAATCAAGGCTACTTAGTTGCAAGACTGAGACTGAAGATAGAAATGATGTACTCAAAGATTTGTAGACAGTCACAAATTGAAATGACCTGGCCATATTCAGTAAATAAAACTACAAATTACTTCTTAGCATATTTCGCCAGCTATCTTTATAATTGTTATAGAAGCCCAAGTTTGTACCCAAATAACCGGTTTTGAATGATCCTTTCACAAAAAAAAAATTTGCACTTCGCATATTCAGAGCAGAACTCTGAATGTCTTTGCAAAAATGACTGCATACCGGAAAAATGTCAAGCCTAAAGTTCATTGTTGTTTATATCAAAAAGATAAACTATTTGCCAAGTTTACAAAAATAAAATAATCTTAAATGAAGTAACATTTACCCTTTGACATGAATGAATATGCCAAATAGCTGCAGAGGTCAGATAATAGACTATCTGTGCGAGTTATCAGCTTCATTTGTGACAAATATTGATGTAATTAATATTATTGCGAAATATGTTTTTTTTTTTAAATCATTACCTTATCATACCCAACAAATACCTGCAGTTTATATTGAACAAGAATATAAGAAAAAATGTAAAAGTTAATAAATATCTAATTACCTGAGTCTTAGAGTCTGGACGAGCCCACCAGAATTCACCGTTTCGCCGCAGTTCTGCGATCTTTTGGTTAAGTCTGTGTGCAAGTACTACTGTGAGAGGCATGCATTCTTCTGTTTCGTCTGTGGCATATCCAAACATTAAGCCCTGGAAGAAGAAAAATATTAATTAAATATGTACACAATCTGATAAGTAGATTTGTAAAATAAATTATATTTATTTTTCTAAATAAAAATTATTAGTATTTTACACAGACAAATCTTCAGAACATGCTGAGTAACCAACCTTTTTGTTAAATAAAAAAAAAACAGATGTTTTCAAAAATGATCAAAAAGTAATTAATTCATAAAAGTTTATACACAGACAACATGTGGTAATTTTATAAGGAAACAATAGTTACATTGCACAATTCAAAGAAATAAAATTTTCCCAAGCATAGGTAACACCAGATTCATGAATCATGCTTGTTGCTTATTCACCATAATTGTAAATTAAATGTAAAATATGAATAACTGTTACTTTTGATAACTGCTTGATCATAATGGGTGATAAGTCCACTTAAATCAATGAGTAAAATTTGAATGAAATGTGTAAATAAACAAGTTGCAATCTGGTTGCAAATATGAAGTATATGATATTGAAGTGGTTTATTGTTTTGTGAGACAAGAATGAGTACATACCTGGTCTCCAGCCCCAACTTCATCATCATTTCTGTTTTCATGCACACCAGCGGCAATGTTTGGCGACTGCTGGTCCAACGCAAGCATCACGCAGCAGGTCTTGTAATCAAACCCTATTCCCAACATGCTTCATTTAATATTAATTAATGACAAACTTATGACTATGATCATTACTGATAAAGTAAGACTTTTTCACGCTTCATCATTGCTGGAAAAGTTAATATTCATGCACTTCATAAATGTACTGTTGCACAGCTGAAAACATTTGTTTGGCTGTCCATGAATTTTGAATTGCATGAAATGAAAACCCAATTGATTATGAACATTTCTCATTCTGTAAATCATGCAGAATGTAAACCCGTTTAGTTCTGAAAGCCAATAGACCCAGGAGTTATTCCGTGCAGCAAATTTTCATCAATTTGTACCTGGTCTCCGGCCCCAATATCTAATTCCTCTCTTTGTTGATAGACTCCACCAGCTATGTTTGGACTTTGCTCTTCAATAGCCACTAATAAATTTAGTGTACGCCAATCAAAACCTAGTGTGCACGGAATAATATTCAACCATTACTAGAGTGAAGTTAAATTAGAATTTGTCTACATGGTACTGGCTTTAAGCCAAGGAACTGCATTTGTATACCTCAGGTAATGATGTGATTCAAGGATAATATTTACATACCTTTAGAGGAGTCATCATAACCAATGTGCTTCACTGTCTCTCTCACAACCTTCTGGTAGTCAACATTGGCTTTGGAAGTGATTTCACCGCACAATAACACCATCCCGGTTTTCGTTACGGTTTCTGATAATAAATAGCTCAAGTCAGTAAAAAGTATAGCTACAGTATAAAATAATTACATTGACATCGTGGTTTATCACGACACTCACCGCATGCCACTTTAGCGTCAGGATCTTGCCTCAAATGTGCATCTAAGATAGCATCACTAATTTGATCGCACATTTTATCTGAAATAAAACATAAGCATTTTAATCCCTAATGAAAGTGCAAGTGCATATCATACATTTCATCGTTGTTTAGATCAGACCACGTGTTGCGATTATTTTGACAAATGTAAATTGCAATATACCCGCAAGGTCCATGATGTAACAAAACAATACCATTGAATAAAGCGTGCATGTACATGTGCTATTATTGTAATACAATCAATAATTCTCGAGGACTAATATGATTAATAATGTAAACAAAAGGAATCCTATTTATACCTTTATCTACGCACATGCTAAGGCGGCCATTTTTCACCGAACAAATCCTGCATTAGAAGATATTGAATAAAACTAACCTGGATGGCCCTCGCCGACGGATTCTGATGTGAACAAAAATACTGATCCTTCTTCCATGTCATAACTATGTCCGTTTGTTTTTGAGTATCCATTCATTTTTGAGGTCTCCGGCATTCTGAATTTAGAGTTAGCTCACAAAAATAACCCGAAAGAGTCCCCTTGAATTAACACTGTGGAAAAGAGGTCTGGTTTGTGATCGCGCCGATATTTATAAGGTCGGAGAGGCGCCACAGAGCAATTCTTATTCGCCAATCAGAATTCTCGCAACCGTCGGCGCTGAACGCTGCTATTGGTTGAAATATATTGTTTTGGTTTTGTATAATCTGGAATAGAAACGCGGCAAGTTTTGAACATTCGTAATTACGTACGCGTAATGTAAAATAAATTGTAGACTTTAATCAACGCTTGTATCTAAATTAAGTACATTAATGGTTACTGTTATTGGTAAATTAAACTATGTTTGAATTTTATTTTATTATTTACTGTAATCATAACCAAATTAAAGAAATCCATTTTGTAAGAAATTAATTACCCCGATGCAAGAAATTAAGGTAATAATATTTTAAACGTTAGGATAAAAAACATAGTACCTAATTCAACTTTTTATGATTTACAATGTTATTTAAAAACAGAAGACAATACAAAATGAATTAAAATAAAGTTTCATTTAAACACCATAAAAATAAAGGTTAGGCAAGTACATACATTGATTCAGTAAACTTAAAAATTACATTAATTACTTACCTTATACAATACTTTCCACAAAAAAACACTAGAACAATTGCGTACTTAGTTATCACTTTTTAATAAATACTGTTTTTCTATTATAATTTAATATTTTTAGTAATAAAAGAAATGCTTAGATGTGTAGTTTCCCGCGAGAAATCTCGTCGTCAACTGTGTGTAAGTTCGTTGATTCAACTGTACTTAAATACTAACAACGATGATGCATATTTATTTACTTATTCAAGAGCCCGCGACTTTTAGCAAATCATTATGTTGAAAAATATAGATAGTATTATAATCTTGTCACTTGTTTTTTTTTTCTTTATAATATGACAATAGTTAATATCATTACTGTCAAACTGATGTTTTGGGTGATATTACCTACTTTAATTAAGCACTTCGTTCAGTGCTGCGCAGTGTCGTAGAACAATTTTTTGTCAACAAGGCAAAAGTGTAAAGTTATTGTATTTTTTTATTTTAGTGATTTTGTGCTCCCGATCTTTGTTATGATTTTGCCATTGCTTCAACTCGGCAGTTTTTTACAAGGTGTAGATACAACTAAATGCTAGTAATTAAACTAGGAAACGAGCGTTTCATTATCATTTAAGAAAGTAAGAATAATTTGTCAATCTATTGACCCATTATACGAAAATAGCTTTTAAATACCGAAATTAATTAACTTTTATTTTTTATATTAAGTACTTGCTTTGAGATAATAACCGAATCGAGGGCAAACCACGATAATTATTTCTGATGTAACTTAGTTCACATTCTGCATAACATAGAGCTATTATTTTACTTATACAAACAAGCTAGACAAATTAATAACGTCATTTCTACACAGAATCATAGATACCTACCTAAACAAATAAGATTTTCACCCTAGCTGTGAGATGTATCTACGTATATTTTTTCATTAAAATTAAATTAAATAATATAACTTTCCTATAATAAAAATCTTGAAACTCTCGTCGTTAAACTTGTCACATGATCATAATTATTATTCCTATTTAAATACCAACTTATCTATCGTAATGTAAATAATAAATACTTACTTTATTTTATTATACCTAGCTCGTGTTTTTAATAGCTACTTACTGTAAAAAAAATCCAAATCTTGACGCATTACCTATCACGTAGTAATAGCCTGTGCCTTAGTATCTATCCAATCTGTATTCGGATTAAAAATAAAATTAAAAACTGCGTTTAAAAAGAAAGAAAATTAAAAAAGAAGAGTTTTATTTATGGCATCTCGATTCGCATTGTAGCTTTGCCCTCGTTGATCGTCGGGTTACGTTTACATAATTTGTAATAGGTACTTTCGTGCACTTTACAGTCGCGGCAGTAAACAGTAAACAATGATAATAATAATGTAAACATATATTTTGATTTAGATACACACTTACACACATTCATTGATTTGAAATTATAGAGTGAGGTACCTATCCTCTCCACAACCTGGGCATCATTCCTTTTTTTTTAAAAAACTTTATTTTTATTTTTACTCAGCTTCATTTCAAAAAGTAAATAATGTGATGTTCTTAAGTGTATAAGTAAAGTTTTAATTATGTCATAGTTAGCTATTACATGCTTTGACCTGGAAGGAAAATCCCAGGCGTGAAAATAGGGGGAAGTGAATGTACCTAAGTGTATTAACAAGCGATTTTCCTCAAGACTTGTACTGAAGCCGGTAAGTAATTCATTCATATTTTCCTTTAAAATACGTAGTATTTAAATAAAAATAGAGTTCTTAACAACCATAGCTTTTAAGTCTGCAACTTTCATGTTTGTTTTAACAAACGGTGTATTTATAAAACTATTCAGCAGTTTTTGAGGTCACTGCGAATAGATGCGTTGGATGGCGGGAATGCTTTTTACAATTTAAGGTATCTATACCCGCGGAGAACCTAACGGGTAACCGGAGCTCCGGCTCGACGTGCAAGAGAAGGAACGGGGTGGTTTTTAGTCAGTAAGAGTCTGACACTCCCTTCCGCCTCACCCAGGTGGGAGCAGTAATTCGATGATTTTCCCCCCTTAAAAAAAACCTTTGTAAATCAATGTCAAATTAGTTACGTATTTAACAAATGCTGGTTGGATACAGTCGTAACTCAATTGAGTCTAATTAAGGGAATCGATTTAGGTATCGCTAATTAATCCTTGGTACCTAATTAGTTATTATCTATTTTAACTGATTCCGCAAGGAGTCTCCCGATTCAGTTCCGGATTTCGTAAATTCTCCATAGATACTCATTGTGGTGTGGTACGTTATCGCCTTGTATAAGTAGGTATGATGAAGCTGTAAAGTGTAGACTGACTTTACCTAAATTATATTGCTTTTGGAGATAGTCTAAAAGAGTGATTATTGTGTTGAAACGAAATATCCTATCAAAATGTGTACCTACCTAGAAACATACAAAGTTAAATCAGTATGGCTCGGGTCGACGCCGCAAATCGATTGATCGTTCAAGTAGGGTTATGATGTACCTACCTAGGGGTGCCCCGTGCCCATAGTGTAATGTCTATGTAACTTGGCAAAAAAAATATAGCCGCAACGAATTTAAAACGTTATTTATTTTTGCAAGTAGGTAAGCTACAAAATAATACTTATACACATTAACACTTTAGTCTAAATGAGGCCGGCTGTTTTGAGAAGGAACACCGAAATAAACTCAAAGGCCCGAGTCTTTTTAAAAAATTAATAGTAAACTTTTGATATACATAATTAGAGCTTTATATTTTAGGCCACCAAATTATACCAATGGTACCTATTGGCTTTAAACTGTCAAACACCGAGCGGTCACCGGTGACCACATCCTATTGTTCTTTAATTGTGTCTATAAATACGGTACTTAACGAGTTAAGAAGCTTGAATATTTATATGACTGGTTTCACAGCCTCTACTTATCTAGAACTAAATTATTAAAGCACAATTTGTTAGGATCTAGAACTTAATAACCTACTATTTTTAATTAGCTTCTATACATCAGAATGTTTTATTAATCAACCAGAAGAGATTAACAAACTGGCCTTTTTTGAGGGGGTAAAATCATCCAATGAGTTCTCCCGCCCGGGTGAAACAAGAGGGAGTGTCAGACTCTTACTGACTAAAACCCGCCCCGTTACTACTCCTGCACTTCGAACCGGAGCCCCGGCAACCCATAAGCCCTCCACGGCTCCGTATCGAAACTGGCCCTATATAGTTTTTATTATGTAATGTTCGATATCAGTCTGTTACCAACTCCCTGGACTATATAAGACTATCTAGAAGCATATTCGATGAATAAACTCGCTTATCATATGGCCCGGGAGTCTCCAGCGGTTCACGGCATTAGGGCTCTATAAGCATAAAGTCATCCAAAACAAATGGTTCATTGATAAAACATTTCAATGATAAACTTTAAACTTTCAAATACACTGTTATCAGGAACACCTACCAGATGTTTTGATTCTGACGCAACTTTATTTTGCAATTTGGATTATTTTTTAATGTTCCTTTCAACTTGTTATAATTTTATGAAGACGGTGCGAGAATTCTGATTTTGTAAGATTTGTAGATGTTTGCTGAAATACCTAAAGGCTTTGAAAGTTGGAGTTTGTAATGCTATCTAAATCTAGCTTCCCCAAAGGTGTTCTTATGAATTTCGTATAATGCCAAAATGTAGCCAAAACTACATTGTAACCCAAATACGTTTATATTACCTACTACAGGTTTCAGATCTTGTAATGCGAAAAATTACTAAAAAAAATATTATTATTTCATATTGAGAAAAAGTTGTATAACTGGGCCAATAGTTTTTTTTTATAACGTTGCCCCAATCTATGATTTATTCCTGTGTCGGGGACGCGTTTACAAACATACAAGTTCACATACACATGACAGACCCGAAACAACAATCTGCGGATCACACAAAGAGTTGTTCCGTGCGGGAATTGAACCCGTGTGGAAATTAAATAAAAATGTGGCTGAAATCTATGCCCACAGAAATGTGTTGAGGTACTTAAAGGTTATATCAATCAATTTGGCAATGTAGAAACAATTCAGGAAGCGGTGTATGTAAAGGAGGGTTTGGAGAAGCTGAATTTAGTTGGGTTGTTGAAATAGATATTTACCTTGGTACTTGGTCAGTTAGGAAGAGGGCATCCATTGATATTGGTCTCTGCTGTGAGGCTGAGGAGCATGGCAAGCTATCGCGTTGACCTGACATGCTGTATACAACACTGGTCACAAACTTTAACAGGCCCAGTATGAATCGAGGATACCGGTATCCACACAGTGATAGAGATCTGCCACCAATCGGTACGTATAAAATGCTAACTTTTAATAGCATCCAGTTGCAATGAGATTTTCTCGTAGCGCACACTTCGAGATGGCCAATATATGATATCTG